TGTCTGTGACAGAATTCAGAGTTCGCAGCACATGCAAGGATATTGAATGTATAGAAACAAACAAAAATATTTTTTGGAGGGGTAGATTGTTGGCATCAATACCTTAACAGTGTGTCTCAGCTCTGAAATGGTTGGGTTCTTATGCTCTTGGACTCACTTCCAAACTCTCCTTCATCCAGAAGCTCAGGCATTAGTTGGTCCTGCTGTGACAGACTGGGACCACAGGCTACTTGCTGCCTTTCCCCAAGTGAACGGTGAAAGAATTTGCCTCTTTGTTTTAGGGATCGCTCTCCCCAGTCCTAAGCACCAGCTGAATATTCATGAACCCCCTATGTGAATTGGTTATCTTCTACATGCCAACACAAAGTCCCCATTCTGCATGAGGTGCCCAGGCGCTGGACAAAGCCGGGTGTCTGTTCTAACAGTGGATTTCCCAGACACCGTGCACGCTGCCGTAAACCAGTTACGATTGCCTGCTAAAGCAGTGTCACAACACAGCAAAGACAAAGACTCTTGCAGAGCTGTTGGAGGCAGCTGCAGCTAGTTCAGACTTCTACATCTCTTGACCTAACGTGACTCCCAGGCTGCCACAGTGTCTGGACTGGAAGCAAGAAGGGAAGATAATGTGTTTTTTGTGACAAGTGCTGCTCACTGGTGCAGCCAGCCTAGTTCATATTAAGAGTTCAGGTTGCTAAGTAGCTTGCTAGCGCAGAGGTTCGGATTCCTGTTTGCGCTGTGTTTGTGGTAGGAACAAATGGGTGTGTATGTGCACAGATATATTTAATGGGTTATTTACAGGTGTTCTTGGTAGCACGCGTGAGGGAAACGTGCATCTCCGTCTGGGATCTCTCCTGAGGTTGTTGAGGACATCGGAGAATTGTTCATTATGTACTTGACTGTACTGACGTGACAGTATTTAAGAAATGGATGTCACTGAGGAGGCAGACCCAGGTGCAAGTGAGGTGGGAAAACAGTGAGCAAAAAAGGAAGGAAGGAAGGAAGGAAGGAAGGAAGGAAGGAAGGAAGGAAGGAAGGAAGGAAGGAAGGAAGGAAGGAAGGAAGGAAGGAAGGAAGGAAGGAAGGAAGGAAGGAAGGAAGGAAGGAAGAGCACTGATAGCTGTCTTGGGAACACGAGTGTTGTTGCCCCTCAGAATGCCCCAAGTGCTTCAGAAGTACCTCAGGACAGCAAGTGCCTCCGGGCTGGCCCTCCTGAACCAGTGGGGAGCCCTCCTCTCTGGGCACAAGGATGCCCCTTACCCTCAAAAGATGTTGAGGGACCCCAGCAAATCTGCTTGCTCCATGAGCCAACCCCACTCCCCCCAGCAGCAGCCGGGACAGGCATGGTCACAGCATGGTCCTTAGACACAAATCCCTTCTGCAGCATGAGAGATGCCTTGTTGCAGCCCCAGGAGGAGGAAGATGAAGAAGAGGGACCATTTGACTATTTCTCTCCCTGTGCTTTAGATGCTTGCAAGGAGACGGGCTCTGCTCTGTTTCCCTGTTCTTGCACTTCTAACCCTTCGACCTTCATCCTTCTTCTTCCACGAGTTGTCCCCATCCCTGCTGTTTTTCTTTATGCCCCCCCAGCCCAAGCTCCATGGCTCAGTTAGGATCAGCTGACACCCAACCTACAAGGTCGGGTTTTCCCCAGCAGGCCTTGGCTGATGGCCACACCACTGCAGGCAGCAGGGGGGAACCCAGCCTGGCATTAATGAGGGCAGGAGGTTGTCGTGTGACCCTCTGAGCAGCAGGAGCCTGGCCCAGAAAATGCTGCCAGGTGTAGCAAAGCTCCTCTGTAGCCTAACGCTGACCCCAGGCACACCCAGGGCTCTCAGCATCCCAGCTTTGCTCTTTCCTAATCAGAAAAAGACTGGAGGGTGCTTGTTCCTTGCAGCAAAAACCAAAACGGCTTGCATTTCTGCTGTAGTAGTGTGTGTATCTTGCCCAGCTCTGGAGGTGGCAGTGTCCAGTGTCCTGTTTGCAGGACACGGTTACATTGGGACCTGCCTCTGTTCCCTGCTGCCATTCAGGCACCAAAACTCTCATCCTTTCCTTGTGCCAGTGCTTTGGTGAGGGCTGCGTGCAGGCTGTGAGATCCAAAACTCTCTTGTCTGGCCAGGCTCTTTCTCGTGCAAGTCCCATCCTAAGAAAACCCTTCTCAATGGAGCTCACTGGTAATTGCACAGCAAAACACTCGGGGCTTTACACTACCAGCGTAGTTCATCCCCACTTCTCCAAGTCGAATACAGCAGGGAGTTGCTGACACAGCTCAGTAAGCAAAAGATCACACTTCTTCACAGCCTTAACTGATACCAGATGTAGGGAAGGCCTGGCCCTACAGCCCCTGAGGTGAATGTCATCAGAAGCAATTATGTAGTTTAGTTATTACTGTACCCCTGCACACAACAGTGGTCCCCAACTGGAAGCCTGGAGGCAATCCATAATGCTTGTGCAACCCTGAGAACAGATTATAATCTTAGGAAGCCGCTGTCTATGCAGGCCAGAGACATCAAAACAGCATATTGCCCACAACATGCTCTCTGCACAGTATTGTTAGCTAAGGAATGACATATAATATGTGGTCATATCTATCATCTGTTTAGCTGTGCCAGCATAATTCACACAAAGAAGTTATGCCAGCAAAATTTCCCTAGTGGACAAGCCTCATCATGGTTTTCTGACAACCACATAATACAAAGTTTTTGTACTGTTCAGAGCAGACAGGCAAGGATCAGACCTGGCTCTCAGTTTAAGAAACCCTGTGAACAAAAGCAGTATGCTAAAGGGTAGGTCACCATCAAAGATATTTTCCTGCTCTTCTGGATAAGGAAAATAAAAAGGGTTTTGCCCTTCTAGAATGTGAATTCAGAATAATTTTTTTGCCAGGGACTTCAAAATCATAATTCTGGGAACAATGAATGACAGACGGTGCTGGGTCTGTACACATCAGGAGAACTTGTACTTGCAACTGCATTTCTGCAGCAGAGATGTGGCTCTGTTCACACCCCAGGTAGGAAGCAGGCTGGTGTAGGAATTTGCACAGAGCGTGTCTGTTGGCACAGATCTCCACTGAAAAACCGTGGTCTTAGGGCAAGGACATCCCATTGTAGCCTCGACAGAATTAACACGTAATCACTGATGGTTTCCAGGTTGTTTATTTTCCATGCAACCTGAGCAGGGACCTGTGAGGTCAACCACAGACCCAAGGCCAGTGAAATGGCTGCTCCAAGGATGAAGGTGAAGCCATGGACCAGGAGAAGGCCACAGCTGGCTGTGCACTTGCCCCATTAGGCATACCTGTGTGCATGAAAGGATGTTGTGATGCTGCACTGCAGTTAAAGGGGACCTTTAGAGGATGAGGCCACAGTGTAAGGTCCTTGCGTGCATGCTGAAATGAAGCTACCTGTGCTGCACCAGCCAAACACCTCCAACACGCCCCAGCCTTCAGCCTGGCCAAGGATTGCTCTTCAAACATTATCTGCAGACATGATTTTGTCTTGCTGTGTCATTCAGGAGGATCTGCAATATTAATGGGACGACAGAAAGCCTCACAGGTGGGAGGGTTGGACTGTAACATCAGAGATAGAAAGTGCAGCAGTGCAATAGGTGAGATGTGGAGCAATGTCACACCATAAACAAAGCTTGGCCTCGCCTACGTGGAAGGGATCATCCAGGTTTGCCATATCACAGCCTTGCAAAAGCCACGGACCAAATACTGGCTTTTCACTCACTTCAAGAGCACCCCTACCCAGAAAATAGTTAAATGCAGCTTTGGTTCTCTGTGGCTGAAAGGGATCGATTTTCCTGTAACACGATAAGGGGCACTGTAACTGGCTGCTTCAGGGCTATGGTATTTGTAACAGGGATGGGGCTTTGGCAGCCCAGGGAGTAGGAGGTGAGAACAAGCCATGAGCTGCTTGTGTGCAGCCGCAACAGATGGGGATGGAGGCAAATTGTCCAGATGAAAATTGTCCATGGGTGAAGCAAAGGCCTGCCTGCAAACACCTGGCTGTGTCTGAACTCGCCCACCTGGAGAGGGTGTTGGAGTGTCAGTCCGAGCCTCTGGAAACTCGGTGGTGTAGGAGGTAAGAGTCAGAGCAGAACAGATCACAGGGTTCATGCTGGTGGAGGGTGCAGAGCAGGTAATGGAGTCCGAATCCTGCATCTCCGTCACCCTGTGAATCATGAGGATGAGGGAATTTTGCAAAGTCACGGCTTCAGGCCTTTAGACAAAGTTTGCAAACAGGCATCTTGGTGCTGATGCACGTGCATTGCTCCCAGCGAGGCTCTGGGAGCACAGAGCAGAGGCAGCATTTGATCCGTCCTGGTTTCATCCCCTCCCTCTCTATTGCCCCCACCACAGACAGTGGAAGGATTGTGCAAAGGGTTACCCAGCTGCTTTCCCACCACAGCCCTCTGACCGCGATGGGAGGTCTAGAAAAGATGACTGGGGTTCCCATTCAATCTGCGGGAGACTGAGAGGAGCCGCAGTAATAGGCTTCAAACATGTGAAAGGTCACTGCAGAAGGGAGAGGAATAACCCGCTCTCTTTTCCCACTGCGGGAAAGTCAAGCCCATGTGCCTGTAACACAGTGTGAAGAGGCAGGGCAATGGCACGAACCACTTTTAAACAGCAAGTTGAGCCCATCACTTCCCGAGTGGGCTGCAGGACTGCTAGGGATGTGCCAAAGAAACATCTCTGAGGCATGGGTTAGGTTGAGTTAATCCTGCTTTAGAGGGGAGGATGGGTTGGCTGATCCTGAGGCCCTCTGCTATTCTCTGTTCAGGGATCACATGAATCCTCCTAGTGCCCAGGGACCGAAGGCTGCTATTAAAAGCTTGTGAGATCCCTAATGGTTTGTGCTTCTTCCACAAAACAAAACACAATGAAAAACAACCAAAAAACCACCACCACCACCAAAAAAAGCCCACGAAACAAACAACCAAAAACAAAAACAAAAACAAAAACCAAAAACCAAAAACCAAAACACAACCAAAACTAGACTGACCCATAGTTTATTCAAGAATTAAATCGATATTCCAGGAAGGAAAACATCCTCCATTTGCTCTATAGCCATGGCTAAAGGGAGGACTGTGGAAGGAACCAGGTCCTGCAATGTTTTCTAAAAGCAAGCAAAACCTTTCCCTCGGGAAGAGCATGAGGGACTAGGCATCTGGACGAGGTATCACCTGGGCTCCACCTTAGCTTACTCTCCCAGGCTGCAATCTCTGCTTTGAAGCTCTTCTTTGGGACAGACTGAAAAGCACACCATTCAGAAAGGAGAGGACAGCGGGCAGGCAGAGGGAAAAAAAAGAAAAAGAAAAAGATATCTTTTTGATTAATGACAAGAGGCTGTTCCATAAACCCCCAGGGGCTTGCCATCACCACCGTGGCATTTCTCATGCACTCAGGGATGGAGCTGGCGGATGGCTCAGATGCAGGACGTGGCGTCCTCCTCGGCCATTTGTGACCCTTTCCAGCGTCCCGACGTATGCATCTGGTGACAGTGACGCCAGGCAGCTTTGGCCTCACGGTAAGAGCCTGGTGGTGGCTGCTGCATGTCCCTGGGGGCTCCCAGGAGGTTCTGCTTCAGCTCCTGTGCCAGAGGGCTGGAGCATGCCGTCCTGCAGCACGGAGCATTGTTAGCAGAGACCAAAACGGGCTGTGCTTGGCAAGCGCAGTGGAAACGAAAAAGAGGGTGACCTAGGAGCATTTCTGTTCTCACTTCATTTTTCCATTGCATCCATTCCTTTTTTTTTTTTTTTTTTTTCTTCTATGAAGCCCAAAGAGAGAAGCAGAACAGAAAGGAAATATAAACAGGTTGTCTCGACAAAAATACTACAGTAGGGGAGCACTGTCAGAGAGAGGAAAACAAGAGCTTGGAAAACAAGCTCCATCTTTCCACTCACCCCCTCTTCTGCCTCTCATCCCCTGGTCTCCAGCATCCACCCCTGCTGCCACTCAGGGCTCTGAACAGACATTTGCGGTGCTGCCTCACACGGGTACCAGACAAAGAGCTAGAGCATTGGCCCCGAGGACTGCTTTTTGGAAGTGCCTCAGCTCTCCCCACAACTTATTGTCAGCAGATACAATGGCTCAAACATGACAGCGGATGAAGGCAGCGGGGATGTTATTGTTCTGAGAGCAGGCAGGATCCCACACCACTTCTGACCGTTCAGTGTGGCCAAGCTCCTTGGTGGGGCATGGACACAGCCATCAGAGATCAAACAGTGCCAGTCCCCTGTGGCACCACCTCCATGCTTCGTTTTGGCTGCCAGGAGCTGAAGATCATGGGTGTCTGCCCCAATCTGAGACATGGTCCTTGTCAGATGGTGTGGTGTGACCCCTCCTGCGGCTGGTTCAGCTGGAGGATCTTTTGGGAGCTGCAGCTCCCAAAAGCCTGAGCGCAATCGTGTGCTCGCCCACAACAACGAGTTTTTAAGCAAGAGAAGAGTTTACTCAGACCCGCAGGCGGAGCAGCCAACATTTCTTCCCTCCGAAGAGCGGCTCCGAAAACAACAGCCATCAGGAACTACCTTGAAACGGGCCCGTGGCCAAAAGCACATTAGTCCTAATGCAGCGGAGGAGGCTGCAGGAGGCGGCTCCGAGTGCGACCTCAGGCAAGGCACTGCCACCGCTCTGCCTGGGCTGCCTGCACCACAGCCCTGCCCCAAGCAATCCCTCCTGGCCTTTGCTTTGTGCTGGTGGGTTTGGCGGCCGTGCTGCTACAAGCAGACCCTCTGGGGCGGTAGCCGGGTGGCCGTGCCCTTTAGCAGCAGCTCCTCGGTTCCAGACGGCTCCTGCAATCCTCCCGTGTAACCTGAGCCCAACCTGAGCCTGACAGAATTGGTGCTGGCACTGTGAAGCGGTTACACAACGTGGAGGAGGTGAAACCCTTTTGGTAAGGGGACACTCGAGTGACTGTCTGCCTCCGGGCTGTTGTGCTCCCTGTCCATCCCTCCCACGAAGAACAGATGGACCCAGACAATAAGGGATGGCACTGACGATGTCAGGCTAAGGCAGGCTCCATCCATGTCTCAGGAAAGCAATGCTGAAGCTCTGGTGCTTTTCAAGCCACGTGAGCCATGCAGGAGCATTTTGCCACTGTGAAGTATCAGGCTCAGGAAACCCAGCTGGGATGCTGCAGCCTTTTGAGGTAAATGGAACAACCCAGACCTCACCAGGTCTGAAAAGCCACCAAAAAAAAAAAAAAAGCCACCCACAGAGATGCTGTCAACCCTGCACTCGTTGGAAGAATCACCCCTAAGTGCCCAAAGCCAAGCCAGCCACGCTCTCACTGCATTTTACCCTGCCTTCTGCCCTAGCTGATGCAAACTCAGGAGTTATCCCCGGGCTGAGCAGGGGCTAACCCAACCCCGGGGAAGGAGCCAGGCAATGTGCAGCCTGCAAACCTCACCGTACAGGTGAGCATGCCGTGCCGTGCCATGCCGTGCCTGCTCCCAAGGGCAGGGCTTGGCTCAGGCAGCCCTGCTGTGCTGGCACGTGCTCGTGGCAGCGCTCGCATCCTGCTCCTTTGCACGGGCTCGCCGGCATGTGCCCCATCTCACAGGGGGGTGACGCCTAGGGCTGGCACCACCCCGCTGCCAGGAGAAGAGCTGCGACCTGCCGGGGCAGGATTTTGCCCGCAGTATGGTTTTTCTTCAGCCACGAAAATTAATTGCCTTGTAACTGAGAAGCGTGATCCAACTGGTTCTCTGCACCAGCCACACATGCCGGAGCTGCCGGGGCTCCTGTCCTCCTGCAAATGAACACCCATCGATGTTTTCATCTTCACGAGCCATGCAAGATATTTGGAGAGGGGCCCTGTCCCGGGCTTGCTGCCGTGGGGCCAGCTTGCTTTAAGCCGAGTGAAATTGCTCCCCACGAGCCGATCAGGAAAACACTGTCTGTGCGCCGTCTCTCCAAGGTTTCTTACAGTCAAAATAATAATTACGTGGCCTGGGAAACAATGATTACTGCCCATGAGCCTGGGAATGGCTTTCTGCTGTTCAGCCTGATGGGAACCGATCGGGCTTCTATGGAAGGGGATTATTTACCTAGGCCCTGAGAAAAAGCAGAGGGGCCTGCGTGCTATTGTGTTGCCGAGTCCCACGGCGGTGCAGCCGGCGAGCAGCTTCCTCTGGCTGTCATTAATCCTGGATGCTTGACGGCCTCCACACGTGCATCCTTCGGTTCCCGGCTGCTGGGAAGCCGGGCCATTGTTTCAGGGCTTTTGTCCCGGACCCAGGGCTTTCTGGAGCTGAGGAACCAGGCTTTTCTGTTTGGCTGCGTCTGGCCAAAATGTCACAAAGTGACCAGATTGCAGCCTGATGGTCGCTTTGGCCCTTCCTCTTTCTCTCAGAGCCAAAAGAAATCAAAAGAGGGTGTTTTTTTTTTCTTTTATGGGGCTGGTGCCCACAGCATGCGCATGCACACACGTGCTTAGAAGGAGTCGGGGCATGCAGAGAAACCCAAAGAGGCCCTTGGCTTGCAGACGCCTGCGTGCTTCCTTCTCCTCCAAAACAACGCTTGCGATGGCCGTCAGGAGGTGGGGAGGAAAGAGGAAGATGTGGGAGATGGGTGCCGGTGACTCAGCCGTCACCAGACCGCCGCTGTCGTGCAACAGGCAGGTGGGCACCGAGGGACGCTCGTGGGCAGCCTGCAATAACAAACCTGCAATAACAAACCAGGCCGGCCGTCTGGAGACCTTCAGGACCTGCCACCTCCAGTGACAAAGCAGCACGTTGTCCCCTTGCGTAGCAAACCCACAGAGTGCTGGGCAAAACCAGAAGGAGAGAGGCAGAGATTAACCAAGCGAGTCCCTCCTTTATGGCCACTCGCTGCTTCGTGAGGCGTGCAGAGGGCTGAGAAAGCAGCCTGTTCCCCCAGCCAGCTCGCCAGAGGAGCAGCCAGGATCTGGAGAAGGTCTGGCTGACAGCCCCCGTGGATTGAGGAGTGCTGGTGGGGAGCCAGCTCCCTCCCCAGCCCCGCACAAGGCTGCAATTAGCCGGAGGAGACAGCGTGTCTGCCTGCGGTGTGAAGCCTCCGTCCTCCTGGGAGCGGGCTGGCACATCCACGGCCCCGCTTGGGGTTGCTCAAAGGGGCTGGGAACGGGGCCTGAGGATCCCAAAAGTGTGGAGAGCAGGTGCTGGGGTACCCGGGGAGGTTTCCCCCGAGGCTTTGCTGGGGGTTTGAGGGAGGAGCTGGCCGGTGGCACTTGGTGCCCACTGTCGTGGCTGCATTACCAGCATGCCCTTTGGCAGGATTTGGGGATTTTCCTGCGTGAAGGATGCTACGGGAATACGCGATTCCTGAACACAGCCCTGCTTTTAGCATCCTCCTCCGCACTGTGATTATCCAGCCCCCGATGAAACATTCGAGTCTGCTGGGAAACAAAGTCCTTGTCTCTGGCTTGGAAAGGCTCAGAATTACCCCGCAACTGTCACAAGTGTTTAACGTGAGCCCTGTTTGGCAGGGGCTGTACAGTAGAGGAGGGAATGGGAGTACACACCATGCCGCTACCACAAAGCCTGGCTGGGAAAATCCTTGCTCTAGGTCCAAGCAGAGAGCTACGGGCTCTAAAAAGCAAGCAGAGTGACCAGATCAACTGATTTCCTTTTTTTTTTTTTTTCCCCAGTTTGTTTGCGCTGCCCTACCAAAAGACAGATGAAACAGAGTTCATGCAGCCTTCCCACGTGGTGACAGCGAAGAGAGGTGCTTGAAAAAAGCCAGAAACGAACGGGAGAGAAAGCAGAAAGAGGAGAGCCCTAGCGAGATGATGTTGTTTAGTTGTTTTTTTTTTTAAATATCAAATAATATGCTTCAGACTTGCAGTGGTTTTCTGCTTCCTGTTCAGCAGTTTGAAACCAGCCCAACTGTTTTCTTTCTCTTCTGGTCATTTTAAGGTCTTTTCATTTTTTTATTTTATTTTTTTCCTGAGGGGAAAATACATGCAAGCGGAGGGAGGAGACCTGCTGCTGCCCTCGCTGTCCCCACCTGCTTGTGTTGTTTTCGTTTCATTTCGAATGAAGGCTTTGGGAATCCAGAAGTCATTTCCGTGGGATAACAATGCTCCTTTCATAAAGGGGCACCGCCAGGGTCTCCGGTACGCCCCATGCATTGGGTGGCTCTGGGTGTCCCTGGGGATGCTCCAGTCTCATCACCCACTGCCCCAGTCTCAGCTGCATCCTTCTGGGAGCCTGGGCAGAGGGGGAAATATCCTGCCCTGCCCAATGTCTGTCCCTGCTACACCCACCTGGGGTCCCCCAAAGACAGGCACTGCCCCAGCAGACCCTCGCCCAGCCCCAGCAGCACAGATGCAAAGCCTTCTGCATCCATCACTGCACGGCAAAGAGAAACCTCCTAAGAAAATACAGGGCAGGGACCAGATGTGACCAAAAACACACTGATTTAAAAGCTCACTGTGTGTAGAGGTTTTCCAGAGGCTGCCAAAAGTTAATGGCAGGTGGACGTGCCCCACTGGCTCCAGTGAAGGCAGTGCCATTACCTGTGTCCACACAGGTGTGTCAAAGCACCGTGCTTTGCTCAGCTCACGCAGAAAAAAATCAGGAGAGCTGGAGAAAAAGCAGACATCTCGGTTACCTGCTCCCTGCTCCAGTAATACCATGTGCTCTGCTCCTCTGTGCTTCCTAAAGAGCTACTTGCTCAGGCTCTCAGCAGGCATGGATCTGTAAAAAAAAGCAAACTTGAGGCTCAGGCTGTTTGCTCTCTTGCAAGCCACAAAAAAAATCTTTCTTTCTCTCTCTGCTGGTCAAAAAGCCTTCAAGTTTCAGGCCACTTTGCTTTAGAAGTAAACTATCTTCTGCTTTGCGCAGGGAAAGAATCTGTGGGCAGGAAAAAAAAAAAAAAGGTTAAAAAAAGCTCCCCTCCTCAGCGAGCAGTGCTGTTTGTCACCCACTTGGAAATTTATAAACTCTTTTCTGTGTATTTATCTAACTCTGCTATTTTGGGATTTGCTGGAGCTGCCTGTGCTGGTGGGGTGTGTGCATGGAGGGTGCCCGTGCTGCTGTGCTGGGGCTGCTGGTGGTGTGACAGCCACGGCAGAGGGGCTCAGGTCCCCCGGTGCACCTGCCCAGGTGGGGATGACAGCCAGGGACTAACACCCCGAAGCAGGGCTCCCCCCTAACTTGACACAGGCTTGAAAGACCACAGGCAGCCGTGGAGAGTGCGCTTCAGACCCACGCGTCTTCAAACCTGAAAGGGGGTCAGCGTGGGCTGCGATCTGGGGCGGTTCAGCCCGGTGTCCCCATGCAGCGGTGGCACATCTGGGCTCAGGAGGCCACCACGAGGAGATGGCAGCGTGGCTGTCCCACCCATCAGCAGGTAGCTGCGCTCTGCCCCTGACAAAATCCCGGTTACAGCCGCTGTGCATCCAACAACCACGCACGAAGCCGCTCCCCATTTCCTGGAGGCTTCGTGGCAGCGACGTTTTTCAGCTCCGGAGTTTTGACGAGGGCTCATCTTCCAGTAGCCAGGAGGTCATGGTGTCTGGATGGATTACAACCTGAACATCTGCATCCTATTACACAGCGATGGTGATTATTTTTCAGCATTCCCCAAGCCTTCTAGCAGTGACAGTAGCGATTAAAGCCCGGAGTGGATTCCTGAGCAGCATTTCAGCTTCCTTTACTTTCGCATCCTGATCATAAACAGGAGAAGAGGGCTTTCCTTGGGTGCTGAGTCAGGAAGCCCCTGTGCCTTACGGTGATGCCGGCGCGCTGATGAAAGCCCGGAGATGTCAACGGAGATGTCAGCTGAACAAACCTGCCAAGGGGGATGCCAACAATAGCAGGATGTCACTGCAGCTCGCAGGGAGGATGTTCCCATTCACTGATTTGGCTCCTGCGCCACACGCCTTCCACTGGCCCAAGGCATGAAGCCAAGGTCTCCAGGAAGCGACCACAAGCAGACCCTGGTGGGGTCAGCACGAGCAGCATGGATTTGGTTTCCCATCCTCAGAGCCAGGAAGGGATGAGGATGTGTGCCGAGGGGAGCTGTGGGCACTACCACCAACAGCTCTCGCTAAGTCCAGAGCTGTTCCCGTGACGAGGGAGCTCCACAGATTTTCTTGCCAGAGTCTAGGGCTTGGGGAAAAATGGGCTGGGGAGAGCAAGGAGCCAAGAGGAGCAGGATCAGTCTAGTCAAGCTCATAGAAAGAGTCTGGAGCAGCAATCCAGCCTCCAAGCAACCACTCCAACCAGGAGACAGGCCCAAAATTTCCTGACCGAGGAAGGATTTTCGTTTCTCTCCTCGTTACACAAGGAGACGTTAACGAGCCCACGTTTCTGGGCTGTTGGTTTTGGGCTCGCGCAGGTCAGCGCTCAAAAACCTCCTTTCACGGTAGTTTTCCCTGCAAGATTTTGTAAGGCAGCCAAGGGCAGGAAGCTGTCTATAAATGAGCACGGCTGCCCTGGGTGGGTCTCGGTGCTGAAAGCAGCGGCTGTCCACAGCCTGGATGCGGCCAAGGAGGCGGGAGGAGGGCAGGATCGCCTGGCTGCTCGCCCTGTCCTTTAGGGACAAGCACTGCTGCCCGCTTGCCCCTCACCCCCTGTCTCCATATTTTTTCCCCTGGGGGCTGGAGGAGGGTCTGGAGATGTTGCTGGGAGGAGGGATGGGGACGGCCACATGCCACGGTGGTGGCCAGAGCCAGCCAGGGGCGCTGGCGATGCTGGTGGTGTTGGTACGTGCAGTGGCTGTGTCGGGGGAGATGCAGGGGGAGAGGTAAATAAAAGGCAGGCGCAGCCCTCGAAACGAGATAAAAATGAGTCAGCTCCACCAGCTGATGGCCAGGGGGGTCCTGGAAGATGTCAATGTTCCTGCCTTACTTTCTGGAAAACATCCAGCCTCGCACACATCCCCCAGTGGAAAACTACTGCAGCAGGAGCCACAACCACGGCCGAGCCCAGCTGAGATGCCCGTGCTGGAGCAAGCTCCATGCTTGATGATCGCTGCAGGAGGATATTCCACCTCCTGCACCTTTCCAAGTATCCCCTGTCCCCAGGAACTCCCCTGGGGTACCCCGAGATGTCCACCACCTTCTCCACTGCTTTATCCTCCCCTGCCAAGGCAGTGTATGCCCACAGACCAGCCCACAGAGCCCACCTGCAATGAAGGCAGCAGGGCTTGGCCCTTTCCTTTGCTGGGGGGCTAATTTAAGGGCACTTGGCTGCTTCTCCCTCCCCATCCCACAGCACTCCTGGTAGTGGCAGCAGGGAAGCACCACGCCTGTAGCAGCCTGGATGCATCAGCCAGGAGGCAGCTGAGATTTTCAGCCTACTTCTGATCTTTCTTCACCTGTGATTGCCCGTACCTGCTCCTTGCTTCTTGCTATCTAATCACGTATCCTCAGATGACCGTGTTCGGGCCAAAAGCCTGGCGCGTGGACCGAGACACAACCAAGGGCACGCCACGGTCTTCATCACGGGTCAGGAGATAAGCATTCCTCCCTTAATGAGGGCATCGTACACCTGGCACGGCGGTGCCCATCGCCGGGAACAGCAGAGCCTTTCACACCACGTGCTGGCATGGCCACAGCAGCCGTAGGACGGGGGGTTGATAGCAGATTAATCAGCTCAGCACCTCCAGATGCAGGAAGATGGAAGCGTACAGCTGCCCTTGGGCTTTGCTGGAAGCAAAGCAGGATTTGGGTGCTTCTCCTCCACTGGCTGCTGGGGCGAGCCCATCCCTGGGGAAAAACGGCAGCATCAGCTCTACCTGCTGCCCGGGAGGCAAAGTCCCCCGGGGACAGGAGCCAAGCATTTCCTGGATGTATCTGGCCACGCTGAATTACTGAGAGCAGGAATCTTGAGGCTGTAGGTGGGGCAGAGAGGTTTACAGGTGGCTGGCATTCAGAGCCTCTGATGGAGAATTGCCCCTCTGGTTGCTGCAGTACAGCTTTTCAGCTGTGGAGGAGCACAGGCAGCTGCGGTGAATGTTTGCCCCCGGGGGAATTACTATTCTTGGTAGCCTGGTGCAGCCTTTGGGAGCATTACAGTGAGCCTGAGATGAGCAGATAACCCCCAGCCACCCCCTTCTCCAAGAATATCCACAGCCCAGCCTTTGCCCTTGCTGGGTGAGCCCCAGATAGCCTCTCCCTGCCTCATCAGAGCAGGGAGGTGGATTTTTTCCTCCTTCCCTTGCTACTCTCCACATACTTTTCCCTTGCAGACAGACAGCGGAGCAGGAACTCATGGTTGCCCCATGTTGGGCCGCACGCTCAGACTCTGCTGGGATTGCACTGGAAATGTGGGCACTGGGTTCCCGACACCCCAATCACCCATTTGATGTCAGCCCCCAAAGTCCATCACACCAAGCTTTGCAGGCAGAAGGTGGGCATGGTGCTCCCACTGGGAAGGTGACCGTGATCCCCAGCATCAGCTAGACCCACTTTGTTGCCAGCATGGGACCAATGGGACAGGTCATGTCCCTGATCCCACCACTACAACCCTCTAATTGTTCATGCCCATCACCCCATGCCACAAGCTCCTTATCAGGCTCTCACCAAACTATAAGAAGGAGACCTAATAATGCCAGAATAAGATAAAAGAGGATGTTTTCCCTCTGAAACAGGGTGCCCAACACCCTGTGTTTCCCTTGGGAACCCTAAATAAGCCCAGTGGGTGACACCAAGCCATGGGGACACACCATGGCCGGGCACTGCACTTGAGGGACTCATGCAGCAGAGAGTTCAACGTTTTGTCCGTGAAACTTGGGCTCTGTGTAAGCAACGAGCAAACCCTCAGATGCCTTGGAACCAGGCTTCTTCCCACCCTCCTGCTTCCACATGACTGGGATCAGTATAAAAGCCATCTGCATTTTCCAAGCCTCCCGAGTTTGCCAAAATTGGTCTGGGTTTGTGGAAACTGGCTTCCCGATGAGACCTCGGGCACTTCCTGCTTCAAATACCGAGCCTAAAACAACACAGCAGCGCTCTTTGGCATGGCTCTTTTAGCCACGAGTTACAAAACTCATTGATTTTGAAATCTTTAACGTCAGATGTCCCGGCTTCCTACAGGCTGAGCAGCGCAACGTCATTGGGTACGGGGAAAAATTTGGGCAGTGGGTGCCTCAAAGAAATGTCAGCCCCTGGTTGCTGCCACCAGCGCCAGGTGATCCTGTGCTATTAAACAGCACCCTGAGGTCAAAGGCAGGCAGATGAACACGGAGCGGGCACTAGAGCTGCTGTCCCCCCTGGTGGGGATTGCTGATAAACCCTTTTAGGGACCTGGAGAGCTGGAAAGTGCATTACAGCTGGCCACGCTGCTGCGTTGGGTCAATGAAGCCTTTGTTCAAAGACCTCGTAATCCAATATAAGAGGAACAAGAAAGATGAAATCATCAGGGCGGAGAGGAAACCAGGGGCTGGAGGAAAGTGTGATGTGTACCAGAGCTGCAGGGACTGAGGCTCTCTATTCCTAATTAACAGACTCGCTTGTCTCATTTTCTGCCCAAACCACCCTATTAGCCTGTTAAATACAGAAGCCCCCCCCTTACCCCCGTGCCGTGTACGCAGCCATCCTGGCACCACCAGCCCTGTCGGCTGCCTTGCCACAGGTTGTATCGTCAGAACTGCTTGATGGCTGCATTAACAGCTTCCTTTTTATTGCCAGCTCTAAACCTCTTGTAGGAAAAAAAAAAAAAATCATATTTGAGGCTCCAAAGTGTCAGGAAAATGTCTAAAAAAATCACGACTTTTAAAAAGGATTTTTTTTTAGGAGGTTCGTTTACTGCTTGGTTTCAGAAATGTGAGGCTTGTAGGCTCATTTTTTCACCCCCCTCGGTGATCCCCCAGATGGATTTTAAATGAAAACGTGGTGTTTTGGGTAATTATATGGCTGGGAGATCTGGGGCTTGGCTGGAGCAACTGCAACAGGCACCTGTGCAGGGACCATCAGGTTTCAGTCATATTGAAGGTGAGCAGCAAGGTCTGTCCCTCTCTGCTTAGGGCTTGGAGAACTGATATTTAGTATGGAAAACGTGGAAGTGGTTTACATGTGTTTATGACTGCTGATAGAGATTTGATGTACAAAAGAGTGTAAATCACATAGTTTGTTTGGAGAAATGATCGCTATCGAGAGGGAATGGAGGGGAATAGCCCGGATTTACAGGTTTCCCTGTAGGTAACACAAACACAACCCCAGCAGGAAGCAGAAGGAGGTGCAAACCGAGGGGAATACAAACGGTACGCATGCTGCTGGAGATGGGACAGAGGAAATTAAAAGGTGTGGCTTGCTCTGTCCCTTCGCAGAGCTACAGCAAGGCAGCAATTCAGCCAGGAGCCTCCCGTTCCGCATTTCCCGTAGTGGAAACACAGCCCCCTGAAGGACAGGGAGGGATTATTTTCGCCTGGCTGCCAGTGCCAAGCCTCTGGCTTTGCTGCAGCACGGCCAACACGCTGGTTTGATGCCGTGGGACTGCTGCAGCACAGCTCCAGCCCCTGCTCCTGGTCCCACCCGGGTGGATGATTTGGCTGCAGCCACTCTCCCACCGGGGACGGAGCCGAGATGGCTCCTTGCACTTTGCATACTGCAGTGAGTCAGCCTCGGCGACGCCTGCTGTTCTCAGGAAAAGCCGGGTGACGTGACTCATTTTGTCACATCGGTGCAAGGCCAAGCACTTTGGCTGGCTCAGCTGGTGGTGCCGCACGGACCATCCTCACCATGCCAGGGCCGCAGGCATCCCCTACAGCCCCTGTACCTGCACCTGGAAGCACCTGGCTGTGCCATGGGGCTGTGCCATGGGGCACAAGAGGTGTTCCCCCTTCCTGGCTGCCCTCCAAGCCCCGGGGGTTGCTGCAGCCCCGGTGCTGTGCCCGAGGAGTCGCACCGACAGCCCTCGGTGCTCTTTGTGCCCTGGGGAGCGCTGCCGGGCACGTGGGCTCCAAAAGTCACTTAGCCAGGGCTGGGCTGACTTGCTGACACAGGGCCTGCCCTGGCTCAGCAATTAATTTGGATGCATGTGGCGTTTGAATGTTAATTGTTCTGCCTAAGTAACACCATGTGTGGAAGAAGAAGAGCGAGCGCTTTTCCCCTGCTCTGGAATAACTCCATTTATAGACGCGCTCTCTGAGGCAGATGAGGCTTCACGCAGCATCGCCCCAGATTGGTCTGAGTGCTGCGTGGGGCCAGCTGAGCCCTGAGGGTCCCAGGAGAGCAGGATCACCCTGCCAAGACGTGCAGGGTCCCCCCCCAGTCAGCCTCACTGCCCAGATTCGTCTGGGCTGGGGCATCATCACTTCCTCCTGCGCCGCTGGCTGGGTGCGGGGAGGAATTTGGACCCCGTGGCTCTGGTTACGAGCACACGGCATTAAGGAGGGACAAAGCAGACAAGTCAGTGCCAGCAAGCCTCATCAGCCAGCCGAAAAGTCTGGTGTTTGGATGACCGATGGAGGCTAAAGTGCCTGGCTGCATCCAGACCCCGTGCTGGCCAAGGGGGGCTGCAAGCTGGAGCCTGCACCGTGCTCTGGGGAGGGGGGAGCAGAAAGTGCCTCCCCCTGCTCATCTGCAGCCTTGAAAGCTCTTCTGGGGAGAAGGAGCAGGGGGGGAGCTGGGTAAAAGGCTGCTGAGAAATATTTCAGTTTCCAGCTTAACTTGAGTCATTTGGAACGGAAAGTTTCCATTGCCCAATAAATCTAACACACTCATTTACAGGGAAAAAAAAAAAAAAAAGAAAGAAAAAAAAAAACAGGAAGACAATTTTGGTGCTGGCTTGAGGGCTTGAGGAAGAGAACAGCGCAGGGCAGGTGCTGGGGCACACCACCCAGCAGGTACATCTTGTTCTCAGCCGAGGAGGTGCACAGGGAGCAGGGGGGGCAGGGGACACCAGGTATGTGTGCCACGGAGGGAGAGCCTGCTTGCTCATGCTGGCAGGGCTCGCAGAGAGGAAAACGTAGGCTTGGATCAGAGCAGGTGAGGAAAGAAAAAAACAAAACAAAACAAAACAAAACACAGCCAACCAACCAAACAAAAAAAAAAAATCTAAACTACACAGCTTTGCATGGCATTATAATGAGGAAATTTTCAGGAGGTGAACGCCGGTTTGCACTGAACATGAGGGCACTGTCACCGTGCTTCTGGGCAGATAGATGGCAGTCCAGAGACTCGTATAGCTGTCTGCACAGGTTGGAGAAACAAAATTCCTGCTAACACGGCTCGTTGTGGTCCATCTGAGAAATACTGTGCTTCCAGTCACTGCCCTGCTACAGGACAGCAGGGACCGGGCGGCAGGAGTGATGCTGCTCCCCTCATGACCAGCTTGCATGTAGAGCCAGAAACCAACAAAAATATTTACATCCAAGGCACAAGAAATGCTAGGGGTTGTGCAGACAGAGCCCTGCAACTGGTCAAGAGACGGATTTGTAAACACCAAGCAGGATTTAAACAAACAAAGCAAGCAAGCAAGAAACCCATATCCATTAAGAATATCAAATATCAGCAGGGAGAAGAGCAGAGCAGCGTCACAAACAACAGCGGCAGCTCTTCTGAGGAGCAGCCACAGGCTCGGGGATGGCTTCTCGGCTCGGCACAGGCTAAGCAAGCAGCAAGGCCAGCAGGACAGAGGGCTGGGAGAGCCAGACCACCCTCTGCATGTCACCTTGGATGAGCCACGTGCTGCCCTCCTGCACCGTGCAGCGACACAAGGAACACAGATCACCACAGTCACACCTCCCTTTCCCCCCAGCCAACGCTGCACAGCACGGTCTGTGCCAAATGGCCACGCTCAGCAGGACAAACCGCAGCTTAAATGTCCTAGCAAATGTTTAGCAAACCCGCCTCGAGTCCTAGCCAGTGTTTGCAGGCTCTCAGAGGTGGGCTGGTGATCACAGCGTGTTCGTGCCTTGCCTGACAGGGTCTGGCTGGAGGTCTAGGAGGGTTTGAGGATGCTTTTGGGGATGTTCTGTCAACAAACTGAAGGGAAATGGAAGGAGAAAAGCAGAGATCACAGTGATTTTAATGGTCTTCTTCTCTCAAAACACCACCGTGTACCTTGCATCATAAGCATTTCAAATATGACTCTGGCACCTACGTTTTATCTGACCAGGATTTTGTTATGGGGGTTTTCCAGCTTGTAAGAGCAGACCACGGAAAGAAATCAATAAAAGCTACATCTGATGCGCGGCCTCTTACAGAGTGATTTTTAGATTGAGCTGTTGTCCAGGGTACGTAGGCAAGAGCCGGCGTTTTGTTCCCCTGTAGCCCCGTTGTCAGCATTACAAGACGCTTGCTGGGCTGACATTAGGGTTTCTGCCCATTAAGCCTCAGAGTTTGGCACATATTGCAGCTTTCCTTCATTATTGTTCACACACCCGGCCGGCCTCTCTGTGAGCTGAGAAGGGGATGCACCTGCTCCTCCCTCAGAGTTTCGTGTGAAATTTCCAGCATAGCACGGGCAGCACATGGGCACCAGACCAGCCCCTCCAAAAGCCCTGCCTGCAGTGCCCATGGCACAGGGTACAAGAGAAATGGGTGTCAGGGCTCTCCCAGGCTGCTCCCACAGTGGTGCTTTAGGTTGCATTTTAAATATGGAGTTTTGCCTTTTTTTTTTTCTTTTTTGAGATGTTTCCTGTTCAGAAAAACACACACGGAACCCGCTACCCTCCTGTTTACTAACCACGTGTTATGAAGAGCTCAGTCAGCAGGCACTGGTTTTGCATGCTAGCGTGTTTTTCATAAATTACACGTATTTGGGATGCAAACAGCGACTATTTATTGAAGCATTGTTTTCCGTTTTCTTACTTTGATTGCAGGGTGAGGGTTCAAAGAGATTCCGCCTGAGCACATGAAGAGTGGCCTTTGCTGTGGTTTCCTAAGTAAAAGAGAGATGTTAAACAACATAAACAGGCACGTGGGCCTCCACTTTGCCTGGAAAAATGTACATCCTAGCAAATGAATGAACCGCTTGCTACAGGTTCTCCGTGCTGGGAGAGCACAAGTGCCCAGGAGCAGGGCCACGTTACCTGAGGAAGTCCCCAGGGTAACAGAGGCCAGCTTTTGGCCATGTCAGCCTCCTCACCCGGCCACAATGTGCTTTGCACCCTGCTCACAGGGTCAGCGGCTTCACCTCCAGCTTGGTGCACGGGCAAAGGGAGCCTGGGCTGTGCCCCTGGGACATGTGGCCTGCGTACGCATGGATGCAGGAAAATACAGCCTACGTCTAGAATGCTATGCCCAGGTGGGCTTGGCCAGCTGGAGAAGGATTTCTACCTCTGTTCCAGTCCTACCCTTGCTGTGGGCTGAGCACAGAAGCCCCCAGGCACTGCTGGAGGGCTCTGCCTCCAGAGCAGCTTCCCCAGCCCCTCCTGGGGCCAGGAGCTTGCCCAAAAGCCGTGTGTTATGTGGAGGTCCTGGGGACAGCTCAGGACTCCCGCTGGCCCATCCTCCGGTCCTGCTGCAAGGTTAAAGAGTGTCACAGGCAGATTTATGCCTTCCCATTGTGCGAGTACCCTTTCTCAGTTCCTGCCAGGCACCGAGAGGGGAAGACAGCCCGCTGCCGTCTTCTTCTTTTTGTTAACATCGGATGCGCGCTCCCTGAAGCCATACATCCAGCATCTGGCATCACCACCCCCAGCACGCCAGCACTTCATCATCTGGAAGCAGGGGACACCGCTGGCGATGTGCGTGGAGGTAATTCTTGTGCCGAGCGAGGTGCTGGTGTCTCTCCTCCATCTGCTCCCCTCCTCACCGCAGCGATCGTCTCGGGCGGCTGGAAGGTCTCTGGCTGCTTTCCAGCGGTTCGGATTCAGGATCTCCTCCCTTACTCTGAGGCTCTTCTGCGGGTTTGTATTGTGTTAAGTTTCAGGAAGCACAAGGAAAACGAAGATCTTCCTATGCCAGGCTCCTGCCCTAAGCTGCTTAGTCTCCAGGGAACAGAGAGCAGACAAAGGGGGAGGAAGAGGGCATAATATCTGAGCAAAAGATCAAGCTGGTGAAAGAATATATTATTCATTAAGTGCATCTCCAGGACAAGTAACAGGGAGTGCAGGAACAGAGCTTACAATTGTCTTAGGTACAGTTGTAAAAAATGTATGTACGTGTTTTTATCTCCACTTCCTGACAGCTGTTTACTTCTTTGGGGACAGGAGTCAGCTCAGCCACCATTTCTGAAGGTGGGTGTATTTATAGAGTCCCACTGATTTCACTGGTGATAACAGGACATGCATGTGATGATGTGGGTGCCTGCACCTCCCCCGAGCCCAGAGTTTCCCTGAGAAAAAGCAGTTTTCTGTACAGATTTTGCCCCCTAATTGGCTTTAACTCCAGCACAGAGATAAGAATTAAGTCGCCAGTGCACCACCTACACCCCCTGGATTTTTCTTCCCATGTGAGCCCTCACTTCCAGTCCCCATTTGGGACAACAAGCAGAGTGAGCCAGCCTCGTGAGCCGGTGGCTGCAGGGCCACCCCATACTTCAAAGCAGGTCCTAAAGCCTTTCTGCTGAAAACTGAGCCAGGGGCACAGACCCTCCGCGGCGTCTTCCTCTGCCCCTCTCGACCCCCAGGAGAGGTGACTGCACTGTCGCGCAAAATTAAACTCGTGCTTTGTTCTGCAGCCTAATCTCTCCCTCCACAATATGATCCCGAGGTTTAATCTGATTATGAGCCTTCGTATCACACGATAACAAACGGTCCCAGCTGCCAGGCTGAGCAGTTTAATGAGATGCCGCGCTGACTGTGAAACAAAACACGGAGGCGAAATTTCAGACAAAGGAGGGGTTTGCTCGGTGCCATCCTTGGGTCGTGGTAGGCAGGCTGCAGGGAAACGCTCGTGCAACCCACATCCTGTTTGAGGCAGACCACTGCACGTGGGAAAGGAGGAAAACCTGCTTTCTGCAAGAGTTTTGATGGAGAACCATCAAAAAAAAGTGGTCGTCACTGTATGGCCACAGCCCCAAGATGCCAACCCGATGCTCGCTGGCCACGGGGGTCTGAACACAAGATAGAGGAAACACAGTTTATCTTTGTTCAGATGTCACTAGACCTAATCTAAACATAACAGTCCGAGATGCCTCACATGACAGATCAATGCCATTGTTTGTTAATCCAAATGCAATCAGACATTATTATTTTTTTTCTTCCTGCCCAGATAAGAACCACGCTCCCCCCTCGGAGCTGCAGCCATAACGTAATTCCCTCTCAGCGGCTAATGGCATTCATAAATTACTCTCAAGACCTATTGTTCATTTAATCCTTTTTGCTGCTATTAGCTCTGGTCACTGATCTGTTGCCTCTCCAGCCTCCAGGATTGTAATGACGAAGCTAGAAAACAGCCGGACTCTCCGGCTGAGGTGTAAAAAGCCAGATGGGTGTTGCAAGGAGGGATGGACACCACGAGCGACTCAAGAAGCTGGGGAGAAGCTCAGCCCCGAGGCAGCCAGGGGCTGGGGAGCACAGGGAGGAACACACCGAAACAGAACGATCGATTCTGGCCGGAGCTCAGGCCTGCAGGAGATGATGAATCTGTTGGCTCACAGCCTTGGGAATTCGGTTCACTTCAAAGCCAAGCAGACCACGGCAAGCCTTTCAACCAGCCTAACCTGGTTTGCTGGAGGAAATCATTGACGATAGTCGCTCCTCCTTTGAAGCTGCAGTTATTTTTTAAGGGGACTTGACCCTTTGGTGTTCTTTTCTCTTCGGCACGGCATGGATTAGTACTATCTATGTGACGTGCCACTACGGGAGATACCGATGAGACCCCATGTGGTTATTCACACTCAGGTGAACTACACCTAGAAAAGGTGCAGAGCAGGACTGCAGCAGAGATTTCATCAGAGAAAAAAAGAGACCTTAAGAGTTTGGCATATCTAGTCATGCTCTGCTAAAGCCAAGGGAGCTTATGATTACCCTTGTGATGGCTGTAGAGACAGCAAAACCTTACGGAGGGAGAACAGCAGCTGGAGTCTGTGTAGGTACAAAACCAGACAATGCTGGCTGTGAACTGAATCTCAGCCTGAATTCAGGCTGAAAGCTCAAAGAAAGTTCCTGATGATCAGTGCGGCTCTGAAACACTCTGTCTCCCAAAAGAGCTAGGAGCGTCTAAGGACCTTTGAAACAGCTCTTGGTTCATCTGGGAACAAGGACCAGAAAGAGCAGGTGATGGGACTCAGCGACTGATGAAACCCCTAGCCCAGTGCCCTTAGCCTTCTACAAGGGGACCACAGGAATCCATCACTTGATGTCCATTTTCTTCAAAATTTTTTTTTGCCAGAGATTTTTTATTTCCTCCTAAGATGCATTGCCATTTCAGGTCATTATTAGCTTAAAACCAGACATTCAAAAGCTCTCTTGAATTAATAAAACTCCTTCCCTGGCAAGTTGTGTCTATCCCCCGGAGTTATGAGGCATGCAGCCTTGCACTTTGGGCTGCCCAGCCACACCAGTGACAGAATTGGCACCGCAGGGAATATGACCTGGCCTTTGCTGCTGGGATATGGTGCAGAAGCAGATGGGTCCAAGGCTGTCTGCAGCTGCCACAGAAAGGATTTGGTTGCCTGGTTTGCTGGGTTATAAATGGTACTCATCTCCTCCAAGGCAACAGCAAAAAAGTGATGGGAAATGGTCCATGGCTTGAGATCAGGCTGCAGAACACCCCGCATGCTAAAGTGGCATGGCAGAAGGAGGCACAATGCAGGTTTCTCTGAGCTATTTGCCCCTACAGCTGCCTAAGTCCGAGAAAGGCTCCTCTAAAAAGGAAATGATGATGTTCAGCTTTTTAATCCAGAAAACTTTAACTTGCACACATCACAGTCATGCAGCTGGTAATTACCACCACCCAAGGGAGCCTGAGAAGTTGCCATTCATTCTTCTAATTACTACAAAGCCTTTCAATCTGATTAATTCTTTCCTTGATGTATTTCCTTGTAATTTCTATTTGTGAGGATGCTAAGGGTAAATTAGAGAATCTTTCCTGTGGAAAATGTATTCTGCGTGCTCTCAAAAGCCCTGGTGCCTGGTAGGCTCTGTGCATTCCTCATCACGCACCCAACAGATGCTTTCAAAGCCAGGCTCTGATTCTGTCCCCTTCTTTCAGACAAAAGGTGTTGCCTGGAGCAAAACTGACAAATACCTGCGTCATGAAAAAAGTATTTTCCATTTCTTTGTGCTGCAACATCTTGGGTTGAACATGTGCCACCTGGAACTGTTTAGGTTTTTTGTAAGACTCCTCATCTTCCTCCAGCCAGAGAAGTCAGACCCCAGAGAGGCTGGGGGCACTGCACTCGTGCTATGGTGATGCCAGGAAGATGTACACATACATGGCAGAGGCTGGCCTGAGAGGGCAAGCAGGATCTCTCCCCTTTTTTTGAGCATTGGTGTCATGCCCCTGTCTCATGTGATAGCACAAGGGCCTTGGATGTGAGTCCTAGGGGAAAAAATAATAATAATAAAAAGTGATATTTATCATTAAGAATAGCAATCCTAGCACTGGTGGAGAGGAAAACATCTATCATGAAGGCAGAATTAGCCTGTTATCTTTCTTATCGCTGCAGTGTCCTAGTTTTGCTCAGAGGGGCTGGGCTGCTCCACCAAGAGCACGGTTCGCAAGGTAGCCTAACTTCAGCGCTAGGCATCACTCCAAACCAAGAAGGAGCACGAGGATGGGGGAGATGGTCTCTAATGGACACTGTGTACACACAGGTCCCATGACACAAAGGAGAGATGACACGCAGTCAGGGCTGACCATTCCCACCAGAGCTGAAGGAATGGCATCAGAAAATGTGCTGGGGAAAATCTCTCCTGGGGAAAAGGAGGAATGAGAAAAAGAGGGAGATGGAGATGCCAGGAAGCTGAAGTCATGATTGTGTTGCTTTCTCAGTGGGCCCACGGAGAGAGGGGCAGGCAGCGTGCCCGGATGGGGCAGGGCTGTGGCTACTCCCAAATGTTCCCTCCTTCCCAGCACCCTGTCTGCACTTTGCTTGGTGGTGCTCTCCCCAAAACAAGGCTGTTGGGAATTACTGCAAGCCCATCTTCTGCTGCAGAAAGCAATAAATCCATAATCTGGCTCTTGGAGCAGTTCCCAGAGTTTAGAGACTTTCTGCCTGAGTCTTGCTATTCATTAGAAAGCTCTCCCTTGGTCTCTTGCCTTCTCTCCTTTTTGGCAGTGGAATATAGCATTCAATTAATCGAGTTCATTTGTCTCTCAGTCCAACGAAAACTAGCAAGACACAGGTTTTGAGACTAAGGAAGATCCTGGATGGGTGTGAAGGTGTGCGTTTGTGAGAGCGAGATTGCCCTCTAGTGACTGAAATGCAAACAGTGTAAAAACACCAGAACATCACAGGTTTCACGAGGTTTTACTTCATATAAGAGCTACAAATTTCCAACTGAAGTTTCTGCTAGATGGAGCAACGGTGTCTGTGGTGGGTGCTGGGAATGCCCTGTGTCTGTAAGGGGGCTTTCCCTCCAGATGCTCTGAACAAAGACAGAGCCTTTGATTAAATTCAACATGCTTCAAGAAAGTCTACATTCATCTAGACTTATTCTTGTTTTATCTTTAAAAATAGAATAAAATAGAATAAAATGTAAAGCTTACCTGTAGCCAATAGCGTCAGGCCATGATTTTACAAAGCAGACTGGATGCATAGGTGAAAAGCTACTTGTAGAAAGTTTACTATAATAAGAAATGCAACAAGCACCTTTGGAAAAGTCTCTTTACAGCATACCTCCTGCACAACTCTCCCACCACCACAAAAAACACTCCCCCACTCAGTCTGGCCTGCAGTGGATGATATAATGCACGTAGCATTCTCCCCACCCATCCCTGAGATAATTTTTTTTATTGCATTCCACCCCTTCAATGAACACAATAGTTCTTCCTCCAAAGCCTTTTCCCTCACTCTTTTATTAGCAGCCGTCCCTGTCTTGCTGTTCTGGAGAAGAAACTGTGGATTGCTCTGTGCCTTTGTGGTCAGTAGCAGTGTAGCTACCAGGGCAGATTTTAGTTTTATATGGTCACAGTGATATTTCCTGCAGCAGCATGTGCTAGCTGATGAATTTGCATGTGTGCCAACAAGAGAGAAAAAAAAATATTACTGGACTTAGCTCAAAGCAGGAGCCCATCGTTCTGGGCTGGCTCGCTGGCTTTGCTGATTCATTCCTGGCTGAGCAGCAGCACCTTCCACCCCACGGCTCTGCAAACGATCCCACCTCACAGCAGGCTGTGAGCTGCAGCAGCTGAGGACTCTGCTGCACAGCTGCAGCCAAGTTGGGATAATAACACTGAAAAAAAAAAATCCTCCCTGGCTATACAGAGAGGTAAACTCTTCAACAGCTACAACTAAACACAACTAAACCGTGCGTCAGGGCTCTAAAATATAAAACATGAGAGTTTTAAAGAGTCCTGCATATTTTCTCACCATCCTTTCAAACCACTTTTGCTCTCTTCCAGCTTCAGGAGCTACACCCTACAACCACAAGACAAATCAAGATGAAACAGGAGACATTACTTCATAGCCCCAACCGTCTGACGCTGCTCAGCAGATTGATGTCTCTCTGCTCTTTGTGTGGAAGGTACTGGAACAGCTCTGCTCACCCAAAACAGGAAAGCCATGGTCCAACATGGTGGTGTCATCAAGAAATTGCCACTCATGCTCCATTTAGAAATGAGCCTGGAGCACAAGGGTTTAGCAGGAGAAATTACCTGTTCAAAACTGTTCCATGCAGGTTGGTTATTGGTGTGGAAAAGCAACCTGGAAGGTATTTGTGGGGGTGGGATCTGACGTAGGGGAGTGGTGCAAGAAGGGCCACACAGCTGGGATCCTCCTGGCCCTTCTCTCCACCAGTGAAGAACTAACTCAGGACAAAGACCTCCTATACTTGGCTGAGGGATGAGGAACCCAAACGGCTGACCCCCAAGGAAAATTAGACATGAAGAATATCCACACCATCTTCTCTAAATATGGCCAGCAACACTAGTAGAATTAATACATAAAGATCTTCATTTTAGTACTCATTAGGGATTTCTAAGTGGTAACCAGGCTGAAATAAGAGGGGAATATACTGATGCTGGACGTGGATGCATTCACTGGGCTTATTTTAAAAGTAACCCTTCTGCCAGGTGTTGGTTTCGGTAGAAGGCCAACACTTGATCACCTGCAGGTTATCATTTTTTTCTAAAAACATCCTTAATTTATACCAATACACATACTTGCTCAGGAACATAAGAAACTCAGTGATACTGTCTAAGAGCTCAGGATACAGTGTGTTTTTCTGCTTTGCCAGGAACAAATCATAGTAGGTAAAATTAACTTGGGAAAACCAGACAAGTGAGAAAATCAGACAAAGCTGTGAGTAGCTAAGGAACAAGGTAGTAATCACCTCCCTCTTCTTCACCAATGCACTTCTCCTGTCTCTAGGTTATTGTCCATGGTGAGAGAAGTCTCAGCTTGGAGAGTACAGTTCCGGCTCCCCATGGATAAGCTGCTCCAGCTCTTGTGTGAAAAGTGCACTGAAATTGCACAGGCATGGCCACCCCATAGAGGGAAATGTTTTCTCTAGTAACTGCCCTCATGCTGACATACTCACATTGATCCATGCAGAGTTGGCACCAACCTTCTGCACTAACCTCCAGTCCTCCCTCCCAGATTTGCTTTGGCATCGTTTCTCCTGCTACAGCAGCGTGACATTACAGCATGTGGCACTGGGGAATCCTTTCTTTCTGGAAAAGGTGAGAAGTGGGAGTCTCACCTGGTATGCACCAGTTCTACTGCATTTAGTAGAATAAGGATGGGCAGGAATAAGAATACCATGTGAGATCCCCATGTGTTTTACCAAGGCACAAAATCTGCTTTGAATACCCAGTCTTGTGCCTCCTCTTGTTTTCTTGGAGTCATTTTGAAGATAGCTGACATCACAGTTCCTAGCCTTTGAAATTTGTACACCCGAAGTCTGTGTAGATTTGTGCCACAGGCTTTGAAGAAATATAGAGAAGATGCTGTGGCTGAGGCCCTGCAATCTGGTAAGAACCCAGCAGCAGGAGCTCAGCCAGACCCTGCAGCATCAGGCTCTTGAGCACCGCAACTCTAAGTTATCTCTCAGCTGCTTTTTATCAGAGCAATGGGAGATAACCTGGCAGCAATCACCACATACCCTGAAGACCTCAGTGCCTGTCCTAAATTAACGTTTAGAGTTGTGTGAAGTCAGGAGGGGAAAATGCATCAACAAGATTACACTCATACAGGATTTGGGGCATCTTTCTTTAATAGAAAGTAATAGACTCAGGCAGAAAGTTTGGAGCTGTGGCTCCGGTTCTTCTGGAAAGTGCTACTAAAGGTGGGGTGGGTAAGGACTTCTGCATCCTCTCCTGAATCCTCCCTGAACCTATAACCAGCTGTGAGCCTGGGACCAGCACTCCCACACAACACAGCTCCCAAATGCAAGTGGAACGGACTGGTGAGATGGGAAGTCTTCAGAAGCCTGGGTGAGACCCCGGGGACCCAGGGGCTGGACTTTCAGAATGTTGGACTGGGATATGAGATAAAGTAACTCCTGCAAGAGTTACTCCTGTGTTAAAAAGCAAAGCCAGAAAGCAGAGACTACGCTGAAGATGCATGGTTAGACCACAGCTTGACACAAGGGGGAGATGCTCTGCCACAGATGGTCCTCTTGCAGTCCTTCCACCACAGCAGCTCCCTGGGGTATGGGCTGCAAATCCCACCCCTGCTACCTCACCTCCCTTGGCAAAGGAAATACTTATTTTCCTGCACAGGTGTAAGAAAAAAGTCCACTTTGGTTTAATTTCAGTGATTTAATAACATTAAAACCAATATTATTTATTCTAGAACTCTGTTCTTTTGAAATAATAAAACTGATTTTCTTTTTAAACAAATATAATATTAAAAGCATGGAGGGTTTTGGAGCTAAGAGCCTTTGAAAAATATTCTTCTGTACACCACCCAAAACGATATGAGTGCTAAAAACTAGGGAAAAGCCTACCACTCCTCCAGCCTGTTGGATGGAGCTGGGGGTGTGAGTGAAATCTGCTCTGGCAGAGCCCCCTGGTTTTATGGCACTAACAGAACTGGCAAACATGAAGAAAATATATTTGAAGTTTGAGAGGAAAAATGGAGGTGGAGGAGGAAAAAAAAATGAGGAGGCAGTAAAAACCAACACTCCTCTTCTTGCTTCCCTTGAGCTATTCAAGGCTACTAGCATGGTTATCTTTGTGGTGGAGCAGGATCCCATTTAACTGTTGATGGAGGTATCACAGATTGGCTCGGAGGAAGCTTCCAACTTCAGTACACCTCAGAAATCATGCTCCTCATGCTCTTCTGCAGAGCTGGCCTGTGAGGCTGGCAGGGAATTAAGCACAGTGTCCTTGTGAGAACGAGGGAGGCAGCCACCATCCATGTGCTAGGTTACACAGCAGGGAGGCTGCAGGGCGAGACGTCTTCGCAACGCCTTTCTGCTTGCGTGCCACAAGACTGGAAGCAGAGAACAAGGCTGTTGCCTGCTCTGACTGACACGGAGCTGGGTTTCACGGGCTGTGGCTTCCAGGAAGGCTGTCACTGCTGAAAGTGAGCTAGATCGGCTGGGCATCAAGCGATGCCTCCATCAGTTTTCACCGCCCACCGCTGCCAGCTTGACACGTCTCTTTCACGCTGCATGTGCCAACTGTCTTAGAAAGCCAGCTGCAACATCTACTGGAAGGACACACGAAGAGCAACCACCAGCGGGGAGAAGAGGTGGGGGAACAGCTCAAAGCTGGGGCGAGGAGGCCTCCCCCTGCCTCAGTCCAGGCAGAAGACGGGGTTCTCTAAGAAGACTGCGAGCTTGCTGGCCACCACGTCCAGGTCACTGGTGTTGGCGTATTTGAGCAGATTGGTGTTCTTGACGAAGTAATGCTTGAGGAAGTGCTGGCTTACGCACTTGTGCAGCTTCTGCACCAGCCTCAGGAAGGCTTCGCGGAAGCAGCGCCAATCCTTGGTGCGTGGGTATTTTTCACACGTCCAGAATAGCACTGTCTGCAAGAAGCAGATGGGAGAGGAGAGGTGTTAGAGGTTCTGTCGAGGGCTCACAGAGCTTACTAAGGCAATTTTAGTGCTGGTAAATGGCTGGCAGCCTTGGAAGTCAGAGAGGCTCGCACTGCAGTCTTCCTGCGCTAACGTTTCTTTGACAGAGGGATCACAACCAACAGCCCAAGGCAAAGCCCTCTCAGCTCCCCATGGCTATCCCGTTTCCTTTGCCCTGTAAACCTCACAGGACATCCTGAGGATCCTGCACTGAGAGCTGGGGCAGGCAGGGAAGGGGGATTCACAAAGGCCAGCCAGGTTTCTCAGGATCCTCAGAAAGTTAACAGGGAGAGAAAGCTTCCTCATGGGATCAGGCAGAGCAGCTCTGTGATGTTCCTGGTAAGGATCTCTCCCCCTTGAGGAGCCCCTCTCCATTAACTGCTGCAGGAGCCCAAGGAAACTGGTCTTGCTAAGACAACCTCACCATCCTCCAGCATGGGTCACTGTAGAAATTCCAGGTATTTTAGGTGTTAAAATACCCTATTATACAAGTGTAGAAGACAGTAGGTGCAAGGAGGGAGAGAATAATAATAATCAGGTTAGCATAATTGCTAGATTCAGTCATACTTGTGCTGCAAATGCACGCAGATCTGCCTTCCAAGTGGACTGGGATTCCAAGCAGTTATTGCAGCTGGAGGGCTTGCTTTCTGGTCAAATACAACCTGATTTGTTTGTTTGTTTTCTGACGCACAGCATAGCATGTGCTATGTTCTATTCCCCCAAGTTTATTTCATGTGATATTACATTTAGGAAATCAATAGTTAAAATAATGAAATGCACGTGACTATTGCTATTGTGGGATTAGTTTTATGCTGCCCGTGCTGCATTTTTACAGACTTTCCTACGACTGAGAAGAATGTTCTGGAGGTGCTTATACTTACTGAACCAAAAAAGCCTTACCGACCATCTTAGTCAACCTGACAAACCAGTTCTAAAAGCAAAAAGTCACCCTTCATGGGAGCCATAATTCATCTAAATTCCTTAGCGTCCTTTTAATCCCAATTTTATTCTTCAGATTCAGTGTCCCAAACAGACCCACAGATACTGTGAGACACAGCTGAACTACAGCCTTCGATGTCTTTATTTCTTCAGAGGTAGAATTTCATCAAAAGAAGCCATCGTCTTCTAGTTTGCCTGCTTTTCCCCCCTCCAATTGGCCTTGCAGTCGCTGTAGTGCTGAGGAATTTCTTCCCAGACAGCTTTTCAAATGTGAGCAGTTTTTTATTCACAGCCACAATAACCGCAAAGGCTTCTTTTTAATGTTGCCAGGGAACAAAAGACATAGTGAGGAACTCAAGCTGTAGCTCAGTGAAAGCTACCCCTCGGAGGTTTGCAGAGCACTTACCTTTCATCAACACTAACACCACTTCAGCAAGATCCATGGGCAGCTGTTACAATGAAGTTTCTGGAGGCAAGGAAAACAGTGCTGCTTTTCCAGTTAGGTGACAAGCAGCTGATCTATCCCCAGCATTTACTGAAGGGGCCTGAGCTGCCAACTGTCTAAAGAGGCACAGAGGTGGCTTTCAAACTGCAAGTAGGTCTTTCAGAAGGTGAACATCATTCCTAGGAGGGTAAGCACAACGAACGTGCTTACTTGGTCCTCTGAGGCTTTCTGTCCCTTCTTCACAAGTGCTGTTTGTTGAGCGAAGCCATCTTAAATCCTGTAGCATGTCTAGGGAGGACACTACCACCTTTTTACACCTTTCTTCCCTTCTCACCCCAGGTAAAACAATACCAGAACTGGCACTTAGCCCCTCATTTGTGAAATGATGAATTTTGTTTGGTGCACATCCAGAAAGACAAATGCACAAGTTTTCCTGCAGACAGATAGGCAGATATGGATGGCTGGGTAGTCAAGAGGTAGGAGGTAACTACACAAAAACAATAATGCAATGACTATGTGAAGGCAAGACAGAGTGAGTGCCTCAGCTCCAGCATTAATTGCATCTCTGCAATCACGATGCTCCTACAGGATTTAGTTTCTTTTTGAAATATGGAACATGTGCTCATTAAACTTCTTACCACTGAAAAGCAATGAAGTGGTATGGCAATTTTAACAACTACCTTCGAAATTACATAGCAGATGCTACAGGGATTTAAGTTGTGACATTTTGACATTACTGAATAGAAGCCAGACCGTTTCTGAGACTGTATCTTATATCACAGCAATGCCTACCTGAAGGTGATAAGCAGTGATGATAGGCTTATTTCCAGCACACCAGACATCTTCCTTCATCTGCCTCATGACCCTGAAGCACTTCATGCGACAACCACCATCTTCATCGAGGCCTTCCATGAGCATATGCTCAGCACGGGAGAAGCAAAGCTGCCAGTGATAATTGGAGCGGGCCAAAAGGTCAAAACCAAGTGACTGTGGACAAAAGGGGAAGTGTGACACCAGATCTGAAGCAAACTTCTCTGAGCAATGCAATGTTACAGAGAGGATGTGTGACATCTCTCCAAGTGGGGCACTGTGTTCTAAACAGGGTTAACAGAGATGGCAGACATGGGTAATTCTCCCATCATAATTCCCAACTGAATGAGCATGCAATTTGTCTTTTTCCCCATGTGGTGACATCAGTTACTCCCAGAAGACCCAGCTTTAGAGCCACCAGGTGCAGTACAAGCAGCGCTACTAAAGCCAAGGCACAGATCCACAGGCACTGTGCCATGAAGCAGCAGGTCATGGACGAGAAGGGACCAGGACTGGAAAGCAGAACTGGACTTGTGGCAACATGGCAACTGGGGCTGAGCTGGAGTGCCACAATCCAGCCAAGAGCTTTGTAGGGATAGACAGAATTAGGCTGGCAAGGAAACTGTGAGAAAGTGCCTTCACCCTGCAGTCCTTCATTTGGGAAACCACTATTAGATGTCCACAAGGTAAATTTCTGCACAGACTTTATAGTTTGTTTTTACACTGCTTGCCTTGATGCACTGCACTTTTTCCTGGGAAGGCCAACGCTTAAGGCAGCGAGGCCACCGGGCTTTCTCGGGCCAGCAAGTCGGGATCTCCACGGTAGGGACCAGCTCCACCTCCACCTGGGATTCTGACGTCTCCACAGCTACCCGGACCACTGAGCTGAAGCTCTCCAGCACCGTCACCTTGCCTGTGAAGGAACAACATGAGAAGATAATAAAGGTAAAAAGATCATTTTCCTGCAAGGGGCTGTCTAGTGCCCATGTCCAAAATGGGCCTTGCAGTACCATTGATCTTAACACTCTCTTCGATAACATGAGAAGACACACACACAAAATCTCAATCTGCCCTGGGGAATGAGAACAGGAAGAAAATGAACTAGATTGTCAATCTTACCTTCAATTACTATGCTTTTGTTTTCCCCTGTGGTCCTCTTAGGTCCTAGGATCTGGTGCTTGGTGCAACCTAACTAACATTTCTAATGGTGCAGTACAACACTTCTGATTAGAGAGGACCAGACAAACATTTCATATTTAAAGTCCTTAATCCTTCAGAGGACCTGTGATCAGACCAAATGACTTACCCTCGCTGATCATTCAGAATGTTTTGTGGGGTATGCACAATATTTTTTTTTTCTTTTTTTTTCTTTTTTTTCTGGGATGCACTTGCACAGAAGCCAGTGCCAGAATATATTACCTTTTGTGCATAGCTGTCATACAAAAAGGGTTAACTGCCTGTCTCGCTGGTAACAATACTTTTCGTGGAAGAAAGAAGAAAGGAATGAAAGTTGCAACTAATGTGCTTAGTGAGGTGTTTCCTGTTGGTCCTGCTGTGTTCATGGAAAAAGTTTCTGTCCCATCTTTTCCTGTCACTTTGGATGGATCACTGCTCCTTCAGCTTTGTCATCTGAGCCAATTGTGTGATCATGCTCTAACCCACTAAAGTAAAAGACAGAGCAGAATCCCATACGCAGTTTAAGTAGTAGTGTGTTAATCCACCTCATTTTGATTGATGTGGGCTAGGGAGCAATTCCACCAGGAACCCACACAACAGACTTGAGGGACAGTGAAGAACATTTGGGATGGCAACTTTTGCTTTCACTGAGGAAATATCTGCCTACTCCCAATGGCAATTTAGCATCTCCTCCAGAACGCACAGTGGAATCCATCCCCACCAGAACTTCATAACCCTCAGTAAAATCTGTGTTATTTCCATGCTGAGCCAAGCCTGGCACCAAAACAGGAACTACGCTGCTACCAAGCTCTCAGCAGGGATCCCCAGCAGCTGAAAAGCATTAGAGCCATAGCTGTGTCAGCACATAAGTAAATTCACAACGTTTCCAAAAGTATCATGACTGTGCTATCTATCTTTCCACCAATGGCAAGTGAGGCACCAGAAATACTCAGTTTCTGCTGGGTGCTCAAAGAATTAAAAAGCAAGGAAGCAACGAAATGTGGAAATTCTTATGTAACTTTGGATAAGCCATGGAATGAAGGGAGTTTGTTCTTCACAAAAACAAAAAACGGTAATTACTCCTCCTGACTCCATCTCACTTCATCTCCTCTGTCTCCATCTCCTCCCAAAGGAGAATTCCTTACAAAAAAGGAATCAGCATCATCACCCCAGACTTCACTCTCCAGGTCCCTTTGAAGTGCTTCTCCTGGCTCAACAACTTGATGAACTGCTTCTAGACACAACGCCAGGTTTTCACCTCAACACAGTGACTTCCACATAAGTAAAGCTTCAGATAAAAGCCCTTTTCACCTGACCTCTTCTGTGAGCCTCAATGGTAAAATTTTATCCACATCTCCCTTTTCCCTTCTATCATAAGAAACATTTCCTAGAAGAATGCAAGAATTTAGCTGAGCTTGACTTTAACATGTTTTCTCCTACAAGTAAAATTCAGAGTACAATCAGAGGAGGTGAAATGTGTCTTATTTCTTTGGAATACAGAAGACCCATATCAGGCTGCTGATGAATAAAGTCATCCTGGAAACATGCTGTGAGAAAAGGCACCATAGTCTGAGCTTGACTATGTCACAGTGTCTTAATGTGAAAAGATGAACACAGACTATTTGGCTTGGACAAAGCCATGTGTTCATTAGCCGAAGTCTGCAACATGCCTCTAGGATGCTAAGAATTAAATACGAGGATCACTGTTCAGGCAGCATTTTGCTGCAGATGTCACAGCTATGAAAGCATGTTGCATGCACCACTGATTGCATTATGTCATATATAAATAGCCACAGGAAATACACAGGCACTTTGGAATTGGTCACAGAAGGATCAGCACCACTACTGAAAGCAAACTTCCATGATAGCTGCTGAACGCTTCTGGATTAGCCTGGGCACTGAGAAAATGACAGTACTTGTCCAACAGACATTGCTTGAAGTCCTAATGAGTCCCTACAACTCCATGCTGGAAATGTACAGGTATCTAACCTTCCCCTAGAGCATTATCTGCCCTACACATATCTTCAAGCGCTTTTCCCTCCTCTAACTTATGCACTTTCCCTCTATCCAATTTTCCCACAGTATTTTCCTGCTAGTTGAGATATATTGCTGATGCTGCAGCAGAATAAAAAGACCTTTTCCCAGACAAATTCCTAAATGCTCTGAAAATCTGGGTTGCATCTTGGCTGAATTGAGAAGGTGATGCTGCTGGAGAACTAACTTACCCAGATTCCTAAGAAAGGAGCACCATTTGGGGTATGAAGAGTCTAAGGACTACTTAATTCTGTCTTCAGTGCAGGTTTACATTTACATCATTTCAGTAGGCTAGAGGCTCCCTGTTTCTTGAAGGGTTTGTTTGTGGTTTTTTGTTTTTTAACTTCTGATCATGTGAATGTCCCAAACACTTGTGTGTGTGTGGTATTTTCCCCTCCACCAGCTGCGGAAGACAGACAGTTCCCCTTTTAGCTGTCCCCACTAAACTCACTGGAGAGGTTACAGGAGATAATCGACTTCTCCACCAGCTCCCGGAAGACAACGAGGACTTTGGCTGGAACCAGATCGCCTTCGATGTTCACGTCCGTCTCATGCCACTGCTGAAGGCTTTTTGAGAACTGCTCCACCTCTAGCCATTGATGCAGCTCCTCGGGGTCCCGCACAGAGGAGAGGAGCTTGGCTCCGTGCACGGTGTAATAACGCCAGTGCCGCACTTGGCACTCCCTGTACCCGGTCAGGCCGCGCAGAGGGACTGTGATGAGGAATTGGCTGGGTGCTAAGACCTAGGAGAGTTCAGAGAGATTAAGACAGGAGGCAAAGGCAGATCCACGGGCCTGAAGTGAGTAAAAGAGGGTTTAGGAAATAACAGGTAAAACTAGGGGCTTCAGAGGGAAGGAAAACCACGATGTGATAGGGACAAGTGGAAACATCCAGGACCTGTTCCATGCCTGTCTGAGGTTTACCTTGGAGGTACACTGAGTAAGAGGAAATGGTCCTATGAAAGGAGTCTGATGTGACAGCCACAGCCCACAGAAGACAAGAGCACACTCTGGCTGATTTGCCACCACATCTGCCATAGTTACCCCCATTCTTTGTCATTTCTAGTATGCAATTGTATGAAATATAAAAACTAGCAGCTTCCAATGAGCGGGAGAGCAGCAGAAAGCTTGTTCTGAGATCCAGCCTTGGGAAACAAAATACTGCAAGTTATTCCCTCAGAATCATCACTAGAAATAAGCCCAGAGTTCAACAATAGTAACAACTATGGCAAAAGGCATATCTTTTTGATCTCTTTCAAACTCCACCTAAAGACATTAGTAAAATAAGACCGTGGCCCTTTCATTTTTACAAGTCTTTTACTCTGCCTGATGGGAAGAGCTGTGCTGCCTTGAGAGAGGGAGAGAGATAGCAGGCAAGTGGCATGCCTGCACCTACACAGGCAGAGGCACTCTCAGAAATAAACCCAGATTTTGGCCAGAACTATATGAAACTGCATCTCCTGCTGAGCAGAAGCCAGAAACAGTGCAAGCATGGAAACAGTAATGACTGGGTAACACACCCACAAGCAGGCTTGTTTGCAAGATGATTTATTGCCCTCGCTTTGAGGATCATTTTCCAATCAAAACCAGTGCTCAACCTGTATTTGTGGAGAGCGAACAAGGTGACAGACAAACACCACGAAACCTCAGGCTGGTTCAGGACACAGCCAGACATCGTCCAACACTAGTTTGGAAGCATACGGAGAGCTTGGCTCCAGTTGCAGAGAGTGGGTGTCCAAGCTCATTCAGACTTTTATTGTGTTGTCTCAGAAGCAATTCAACCTCACTCACTACTAAGCCCACCTTATGCTGGCATTAATAAGGTGAAATGTGTGAGCAGGATGTGAGGTGACAGCTGTTGCTGGAAAGTGGTTACCTCGAGGTGAATTCAGCACCCTTGTCATTCTCCAGCAGTAAGATTCTGGTAGTATTGCTGGTAACTGAGCCTATTTAAAATGTTACTGCAGAGCTCTAACAAGCTCTGGACAGGCTTTCTTGGCCTCCTACCCACACCTTCTGCTGATGGGCCCAGGACCCCTATTTCAGCTCAGCCCCAGGCTGTGCTCTTTCCTGTACCAAATCTGACTTCTTTTCTCCCACACAGGTGGCAATCACCCCACATAAAATCAGAAGGGCACTAGCATTACAGGCATGCTACAGGTTGGGAAATACCAGCTTGGCTGAAAGCACAAGGAGAAAGGCCTTAGGGCACAATGCTGATTTGGGCACCACACAAGAGGAAGCTCTGCTCGACCAGGCTGAAACATCTCTTTGAGAACTGTGCTTGGACCAAATTCAGCCACCTGCAGCAAAGGCCAACTGTATCACCATCCTTACTGAGGAACAATGAAAAATAAACCAGCACCATTGTAGAAAACTGGTATTCAATGGCCAACCAATAGGTTTTAAAGGGAAGAGCTGTAGCTGTTATGCAATTGCCTGCAAATACCAGTCACGAGGCTCCTCCACGTGGGGCTTGGCAGGAAATAGCAGAAAGCACGAGGCAGGAGATGGTGCTGCAAGGTTGGGTGGCTGTGCAGCAGGTGTCCTGCTGGCCTAAACAAATACCAGTCTGCACCCGTGCTCTGCCACATAATGGTCTTGAATGGCACATGCAGACCACAGGCTTCAAACAAGTCGTGGGTGATGGAACAAGAGCCTCTGGGACAGTTCTGGGACATGTAACCTACAGCCAACCCTGCTGCATTAAAAACCTGCCTGCAGCATGTCAAGCAAATTAAATGCAGCCTCAATTTTGCGCTCCTGGCCAGGATATGCCAGAGGTGGGAGCATTAGGTTTGAAATAAAATGTGTATGCTTTGAGCAAAAAAAGAAAACCTCTTGCAAAGAAGCTGAGATAATCACAGGAGGATGGGTTAGGAGGGTGAGGTTGTCTGAAGAAGAAGGTGGGTGAGGAAGAAGCAGGCACCAGGTGTCAGGAAGGCTTTGTACCTGGATGGATGGGTGGAATGGGCGCTTCCCCCGAAGCATAGCTGACCACTTGGCCAGTAAAGCCGGCTGATCCTGAGAGAAGCAGAGAGGAAGAGAAGAAGTACACAGAACAGAGAGAAAGCATGTGCCATGTTGTTCATTCACAGAGCAAAGCTGCAAGCATCCTTCAAGCCTGTTTTGTTAAAGGGAAATCCCCCCCACACGCCAGGATTACAGGGTTGAACACTTGTCTGTGCAGCTGGGCAGTGCTGTACTAGGAATTACTCTGGACACCAACCTGCTCCTTATGCCTTACTGAAGCCTCTACAGCTTCTGCATCAGACCTGTATAGAAAACAGCTGCAGAAAAAAAAATGGTGGGCCAGAGCTAAAACACTTGAAAGCTTCTAAAATGAAATATTTAATTTTGTTTGTCTGAGCTTTATTTCAAGTTCTCTTCTTAAAGATTTTGATGTTTTGCCCCTGGGGTGCAGAAAAACACTGAACATCTATAACCTTTCTTACAAGTCTCCACCCAGCCCAGGCTATTTAAAAGGAGTGTTGTAGTTTCTCAACAAATATAGACCCTAAACCAAGTTAAACTAATTCCTTTTAACCAGAAGCTGGAAGTTCTGAAAAGTCACCATAAATTTACTTGACAGGAAAAAAGATGGTGCAAAATTAAACACAGAACAGTTAATATACTGGCTTTCCCTTGACACGAGTCTCCTCTAGGGTGAGTTATCTTGGCAACAATATTAAAGATTCTATTTTTTGGAAGCAGAACAGCCCAAGCCAAAAATATTTTCTTGTTAACCCATTCTTTGTTGCTTCACAACTACAGCACAAAGTTAGCCAGCCCTCCAAGTAGGACTGTCACAGATCTATAGTGCTGGGTTCCGTTAAGTATAAGTAACAGATCTGCCACTTTTTAAGAAAATATATTTCAATGATTTCTTTTAGGCAGACATTGTCCAGACCAGTCTACAATAAAATCAAGTTACTGCTCAGAATAGATTGCCCTGTGCTTTTTTTCGTTTGTTTGTTTGTTTCCTATTTTCCAGAACAGCCATTTTATCTTGACCCTGGTGTTGTTAGACATCATTATCCAAGCAGGTTTGTTTCAATATGGGAGGTGGATTGCAGACTATGGCACTAAGAAACACATAGATCAGGACATGGCACTGTTTTGTGTCACTGTGGTCATTCTTACCGGCAAGCCCACGTACCCTGGGATACATGCTATTACAGAAAAAATCTAAATATGAATGTTTGTCCCCAGTAGCCACGTTTCAGACTGGATAACACTATTCTGCCTCCATCTCCATGCTCTTCCAGCAGCTTCACAACACAGAATTCTTCCCTTTCAATCCTATACAGCAGCAAAAGTTCCCTCATGCTTTCACATGGTACGCTTTGGTCCGCAAGTGGCTACATTTTAGTATAAGGGTTGACATAGACAGAATATGAAAATGATCATTTTCATCTGTGCTTTGATTATTTCTTATAACCTTACAGTGGTTATTCTTGCAGTCACAGGAAATAACCAGTCCTCTCTTGTCACAGCTGGGACAGGACATTATTATTTTGGGATCTGAAGGTTTAAAACAGGGAGGTGGTTCACTTCTCCCACTAATAAGCATATTTCTCCCCAGTGAAAAGGAAGTTCTAGTCCACGACCAATAAAATATATATATATTTATATTTATTTCTGAATAAACTTCCTATGTTCAAGCAGAAGAAAGGTTTTTCATTTATTTTTTTTTAAGTGTGTTGACAGGTTTTCCAGCTGAGAAAAATATGAGTCATAGCTCATGAAAGCACGAGCATTTTTGCCTCTTAATGTTAGAAAGAAAAAAAATTCTCTCTCAAAGAGTTTTGGTTCCTGCTTGCAGATGACAGCTCTGGCAGTAGAGGCTCTTTGTAAAAGAAGCAGCTGTGTAAAAATGCTCTGCCTGATTTACCCAGCCCTTTTTGATGCTCCTCTAGTTGTAAGATAGCCACGAGTAAGTCAGTATGATCCAGTCAGTCACTCGAATTCCCACAGTGAAGTGTCAACATATTGTCTGTGGTGTTCAGGGTGAGGTACCTGTCCCTACAGACAATTAAACAACGGAAAATCACTTACTGATTGCCTACTAGCTGCAGAGTCTATACTACATCTCTTGTTCATACCTTAATATTCTCATTGTGAATGCCAGAGTTGGAGATAGCCTGGAATCGTGTGGCCTTGTAGCTGATTTCTGTGGTCAGTTGCTGGATGATTTTCTGCACCTCCTCCACTGTTTTGGAAACCAGATAATGTCGTGGTTCCACCTGTCATTTCCAAGAAAGACACTTCATATTATGGATAACTGCACTCTTTGTCTCCAGTGGAAAACAGACAATTGCATTGGAGCACCTGAAGTATACGTGCCTATGCTTCTCTGGAAATAAAAACTTACTGCTCCCTGTAGTTACAACTAACTTACCGTGAGACAGGACTCTTGCCAGTGAACACTGAAGGGACAGTATTCAAGACTGCTGATTATTTGTTGATACTCCCGTGCAAATACCAATGGATGGAAGGGAAGGAGTTCATTACATGGATAAATTTGCTAGCAACTAGCTACAGTCTCATTCTTTATTTATGCTTGATCCAGGACACCCAGCTATTCCCCTGTATGTACTATCTACACTCAGAGCCAGAGTAAGTTCACTTTCAAGAGCTGACTTAAGGAATTACAGATACCCTCTGCATTAGTCAGATAGCAGCTGTATGTGGCAGCATTTACATGCCTACACATTGAAAATATCCATACTGTCTTCACATCTAAGTACAGATGAGAGTCCATTCTTAGATGGTGACAAGGACTCTTTCTAAATCTGGTTCCATTGACAGGTAGGTGCTTGTGTGACTTGATGGATAGTCCTTCAATTCAAGCAGTAGTAGTAGTGTAATTATTTATTAAAAAGTATTTCAGTGGGAGGTCTGAGATGAAAATGGACCACTACTTGCCTAAAATCAATTAACAAAGGAAGAGCAATTGATTAACACAGAACTTAATGAGCAGAGTTGGAAGACACTCTCTCCCCTTCCAACAAAAGTATTTTTGCTAAGCCTGAATAGTACTTGCAAGTGGGAAATACATCAGGACAGCAGCATCATATTCCCTTTGCTACGCTCTCATCTACCTTTGGCATCCCAATTTTTTGCTGGGTTAACAACACACAGTCCCTTATGTTTATAAAATACCCGTTAGTTTCCCTATTAATTCACCCTCCTCCTCATTCCAGTTTAGTCTTGTCCTTTGAGACAATTTTAACTAGTTCAAAAGTACTTTTTTCTTGTTAAAAATAAATAAATAAATAAATTTAGCCCATGTTCATTTTCACTTCTTCATTTCATTTTTGGCACATCTCAATCTGTAGCAACAATTATTTTCTCTGCTGTGTGTTTCCTTGTCCAGAATTCCTTAGTTCTTATAGCATACCAATAGTCTTGAATTGCTAAAAAAATACCTAATGGTTCCTTCAACAAGCAAATGGTATGAGTGGTAGAGAAAGTTGTCCACATCTACGAGCCTGCAGGCAGAAAAATCAGGCTCTGTTCAAAGTATACAATCACTGTTGGTCAGCTCAAGCTGACGTCCAGGACAGCCCCCTCTATTCTTTGCTCATGCCATGTTATCTCTGCGTGGCACCTGCTAGACACACTTCTTTTTATCTCTGATATCCTGTGAGATCCACACAACCTAACTTGGCCTCATGACCTTCATCACCTACTGGCTCAACTACAGCAGCTGATATGGAAACTTTAGGAGAGTACATACTCTCGAAAAACTTAAGGGAGGTACCACTAAACACTTCCTTCTGCATGTAGCTCTTCATCGTTGAGGCAAGGATTAAAGAACAAATGACAGGACAGATGGTGCTAACCACTGATAATCCCAATTACCTCCCTAATCTGCTACTGGACAAACATAACCTTCCTACAGGACGGGAGCCATAAAAATCAGAAGATGGAGCATGAGTGAGGGAATGCAGCTTCTGAAAGGGCCGAGGCATTTATCTAAGGTGCCTTTAGCACCAGAAGGAACATGTTGGGAAAAGAGACATGTCTTCACTGGACAGCCACTTCTGCAGCCTATTGGCATTTCCATCACCAGGTCTTCACCTTGAAAATTCGCCAGAACAACAAGGTTTTATTAAGGTTTTATTGTGGAGGAAAGAAACAGAACTGGGATTGACTGGGGACTGCAAAGAATGTTTTTTTTTGTTGTTATTGTTGTTTTTATTTACCCCAGTCACCTCGGCTAGATATGCATTTGAGTATTTCCTCTTCCAGATGAGTGGGATAAGGAAGAAATCTTTGGAATCACAGAGATGCATTGCATCAGGTGGTTGACCTGTTTTGAAAAACAGCACCATTTTGCAGGCTGAGCTGAAGCTACGTGAAGGTTGAACAGCCTTTCTTGGACAGAAGATTTGGGATCAGGCAGAACCTGGTAAGCTGTCTGAGCTGGAAGACTGCTAGAAAACAGATTTTCAGTAAAAGATGACATATGCAGTTAGGACCACCCTGACTACACTCTGCCTCTGTTCCTTGTACTTATGGCAGTCATATGAGCATCTTCCTGCACATGGCTCCTCTGTAGCTCTGCTTTATAAATCTTTAGAGAAGTGTTCACCATTATAAATCACTGAACAGATTCTGATGGAATGATTTTCCAGTGCAAAACACTGAATGGTTGAAAATGAGAGTTTTCATTTCACAGAAATGCACATACTTGTCACCAAAACATTTCCATAGAGAAAACAAACCTTTCCCACCAGCCCCTTCGTGGTTTTAGAGCATTTCATCCTTTTTAGAAAAGATAGCCTTATAGTTTTTCATTGGGAAATGCTTTTTCCACTTCAGTATCTTGCATTTTGTAGGAGTAAACAGGCAATCAAACAGAAATTAGCTAAGCACTGTCATGAAACACATCAGATTTAACAAAATAAAACATTATGGCTCATTTAGAGTTACTTTTATTGGAACGTACAGTTTTGTTGATGATTTTTATTGTGTTTTACTTCTTTTCTTAATGGAAAAACAAACACCACCACCAAGAAAAAAATCAACAGAGTGCTGGAATACCTTATAAAATATAAAATGCGGTTTGCTGCCTGTGCTAATGAGACATGCTATTTAGTCATGGTGAGCAGGGAAGTATCCTTAGCTGAGGTGACAGACTGTCAGGAGAATTCTAACTGTATCCATCTCTCTCCGATTCCTGCATGCATCTTTCTAAGACACAGCCCTTGTTATTGTGGTTTTGCTCTTGTTTCTGTCAAGCTGAGTCCAAAGGGACAGGGAAAGAGGTAAAGACCTCTCCTCCTTAGATTAAATGCTGGCAATTACAGCCAGACTCACATACGGAATTACAAAATTGGGAGCAAGAATTCAAGACTTCTGAAGGTAAAGAGGAGAACCTTGGAAAACAAGGGTACCAGCTGAGATCCCTGATAACACTCCGCATAGAAACCTAGACATCTCATTAGAAATACAGTTCTCACGAAACTTCACCCAGTCTTGTCTCAAAAAAAAAAAAAAAATGAAGACAGAAGGCAAGCAACTAACTGTCAAATTTGGCACCCTTCAGAATCAACACCTAGTGTGGGAGACAGAAAATCTGGACAGATAAAGCCTTACCTTGCTCTGGATGTAGATTTCTACATCTTCATCTGTGAATGGTTTCATGGCAAGATGGTCTTCGCTGCTCTCTAAAGTGTGAATTCACTCTTCACTCGTTTGCCTGCATCTGGAAGTAGAGGGACATTCGGAGCAAGCTGCTCAGAGCCTTCTTGCCCCGTGAAGCTCAGATCACCTAGTTCTTCTACGGATGAAAGAAGAGGAGAGAGAAGCAAAGAAGTATGCCTGTTTTTCTGGTCTGAGTTACAACGGTGATACCCAGCTGCTTAGGAAAATTAGCTCCAATTCCTATTTTCTAAACTCAATTGTTATTATTCTTACTCTCTTACTATGATTACTCTTAAGTGGTCTGTCTTGCATGCAGGCATACACAGAAATATCCTGGTTGCTGCTTTGTCTCAGGACAAGTCTAGAAGTGCCTTTCAGGTTGCACTGCAGATTCAGTAGGCTTGAGCACAGTATTATTATTCTGTACCACAAGCACTTCCCTATTTCTCTAACCCTTCACTAAACCACTTGTTAAACATTGTTATTCCTTGTTGACTTCAATCCACCCACTTTCTATCTGAAACTTTTACACTGAATTTTTACAGTCGGATCATTCATTGGGGTTGCAGCCTGCAGCCTCTGCTCCCCTCTCCTTATATCTCCTCTCTCTCTCCGGCTGTATTGACAGTAAATACCCTGCTGCCTGTCCCCTCCTGTAGCTTGCTTTGCCTTCTTTACAGTAAACAGACAGAAAGCTGTCTCTCTCTTTCTGCCAACAGCTCAGCTAACAACCCCATATGGATAATTCAGAGGGAAAAAGAATTGATCGGGACGTATTGATCCAATGAGGGTTGGTGGCTTTTAGAAAAAAGGGTACAGCGGCACATGGAAAGGAGCGGCTGAGTATACTGATGGGATCCCACGCTGCTGAGCATCCCTTATTAAAGAATGCATGCTCCACTTTCCAGTAAAGTCATTATTTGCCCCAGAAATTGAACTTTGACATTCCTTGACTGACTTATTACCTCTACAGCAGCTAGCAAAAAGCAGCACTTGGGTAGGCACTGGGTGCTACCTCAGAGTAGGCTCTGTCATTGCTGGTTATCTTTCATGACCATTGCCCCTTATTAAGAGTTGAATGCAAGTACATTAATGGAGTACCAATACTTAAGGACGTCTGATCCCCCAGAATCCACAAACCAAACTTCTCTCTGTGCCTCCCAGGCACCTGCCTTTGTCTTTTTACTGAGGGCTTGGAGGAATATTCACAAACACATGTGGGCTTTTACTTCCCAAGTCAGCTTCCATGGGAGCTGGATGCTAAAAAAAGATGAGGCCCTCAGTTTTCAGGAGCCCTACCTCATCCTTTCTCCCTTCAGGACCTACTGGCTCTTTTACCTGAGAGGCCAGCACACTATGAGAGCTCTGCTGGGGAAGCCAAAGAAAAGGCAGAATCTAAAAGAGTGTTAGGAAATAACCTAGGAAGGACTCATAGGGCCACACTGGATGGGATTAAGTCCAAACAGAGTGTGCAAAGTTGGAGAATGAGACTTATAAAAAGGTCAGATTTGTCTAAAAATATGTCCCTAATACATTAACTCCCTTGTGCCCCCCTCAGGTATTGTATGTACAGAAGACAATTTAACACTCCTGATAACCAAACATTACTTCAATACCCAGAACATCAGAAGTGTAGTAGGAAGCAGAGAGATTCAGAGTCTCAAGTACTGGCAGATACCCAAAGAACATGGTTTGGGTCATTTTTCATCCACACATTCACAAACCTTAAGTTTATCATCCTTTTCCGTCGGGATGCACTTCTCCAAGAGGGTCTGGATGTCCCCAGCTCCCCTTCTTCATACAGAAGGAAGATGACAACAAGGTCTTGGGACCTGGATTGTCTTTTTAAAATTTATTTTACTTTTTTATTCAATGTCCAAATATATTTAATTTCAACTCTAAAGTTTACACTCAAGTCCAAGGATCTGAGCAACACTTCCTGCCTGCACCTTCCATCTGAAAAGAGTAAATAACTCTCTGTTACCATCATTGATAAGGGGGCACAGGGGGAGATGGCTGAAGAAGAAGGAACAAAAAGTCCAGTATAAAAAGTAACATCAAACAATTCTTCTCAACCCCAAGAACTCCTTACTCCAGGTATAAAAGTTTGGTGCTGCTTAATTTGCTTGGATCAGCTTTAGAGAGGAATGAAGAAAAGCTATTTCTTGTTCCTTACCATGACAAGCACAAAAGAAACCCCCCTTACTACCTATACACTGTTGTTTTGTACCTCTGACCTTATTTGTTTATTGATATTCTTTTAAGAATATTTAAGGCTTTCCTAATACCTCCAACTATAATGAACCTATGATAGATTATCTTCATTCAGGCCTTTGGCATCATCCAGAATAGGGTATGATTTTGTGTCTGAGAAACCCACGTTAAAATTTTCTGTGAATATATACCTTAAATGATATTAGATTGGCTCCTGTATCTTCTGAAGCTACCAACTACTGATGCTTTTCATGCTTGCCTAGTTTTCCTTTCTTCACTCTTTAGTTCCGCAGATATGACAAACGTATTTCAAACATACAATCAAAAATCCTTTGAAATGTGAAGAACAACAAAAAATCACCAACATCACATGAATCAGAACAGTAGCATTAACTGTACAAGGAAGTCCAATATTGTAGCATTTGCTGTTTGGAAACTATCTGGAAAAACTACTCATATGGAACAGTAAGCATATATAAAAAAGCCTCTACTAAATCACACAAATGAGTTAGCCCAGCATACCACTTGTGACTCACACATGATCTGCAGTGACAACAAATAAGCCCAGCTGAAGACACTGCCTTCCAGATGAAATACAACACTTAATTTGCTGTAACTGATGATGACCCATCACTTCTTGCTCTAATTACCAGAGGCATTAAGTCTGTTGCATTAGCTGAAGTGTGTACTTGGGTCAAGAGAGACTACCAAAACAAATCATCCCTATATATTTAATAATTTCTGACAGTCCTCTTGCCTTCTTAAACTGCTGCCCCTTTTCTCCCCATTAGTGGATTAAGTGACTGTACAAAATGAGTAATCATAGCTTGAATGCCCTGTAACATATTTACGCTGTAAGTCTTTAGCAGTGATGGTTCAGTATTGTTCAGTCTCCATTCAGACCACAGTAGCATAACTTAATCAGACTTTTCAGGTGCACAAGTTCTTTGAGGCCCTCTATCCCCAGCCCGTTGTCTTTTAACAAATAGATATGGGCAAAGGGGATGCTTCAATGACAAAAGCCTGGGATGGGCTAGAGGGAAAAGAAAGTGCTGCTAATTCACTGTGACAGCATCAGAATCGCATATGGATGACAAATTGAAATGCTTCTCCACTCATTCCCAACCCTCACTGATCAATACTTGGCAGGCTCAGAAGTGCTCCAAATGCCTGTGCTGCCTGTGCTCACTGCCACACGTTCTCATACTACCCTTGGGCCCATACTACACATGAAGCAAGCTAAAGGTTTATATCCTTTCCAGACTAAGCACAGCACTGGATCAGTTCCAGTGGTTTATCAAGCCTGATATCTCTTCTTCTTTTTTGGCAACACTGGATGTATCAGAGAAAGGCAACTAGCTTTTGCAAGAAAACAGCTCACTCAGTCTGGGAAGTCTTGAAATTCAGAATTTACAAACTGAGTCTTTTTAGGCTGCAGTGTGGTGTTTCCAAATAAAGTGATCACTCTGGGAGAACTAGCTGAGGATGGAGGTAATTCTGAAAAATACTGAGATGGGTGATGCTGCCACCTACCATTGACCACCCTTAAACAGCAAATTCATGAGCTCTCAAGAAGCAAACTAGAGGGTAACAAATATAAAGCATACCATGTCTTCTGGTATTTCTAAGACTGCTGGTACCCAGTGTGGTCAGCTGTTCGGAGAGCCTGGAAATTTCCAAGTTCACAATAGTCAGCTAAATGGGTGGTGAAGGAGGCAGGAACCTGGGAGTCCTGGCTGCATCAGCTCTCTCTGAGCTGAGATGTTGGGCAAGAAAACTGACATTTTGACTTAGTTCTTGTATTGTCCTCTGGAAGTTCACTGAGATAGTCAAGTCTGGTGCATCCAGATTTAAAGTATTTCATCAGACCACTTCTAAACATCTGCAAAGGATATTTTTCCCCTATCGCTGTTTTATACATCATTAAACTACAGTGACTGATCTATTGTTTCAATCAGGATGTCCCATCATCTTGAAAAGCTACCTGTAGCCAACATTCATAACATCAGGAGCCTTCCAGCACTTATTTATATGCATAGGTAAATGAACTGAATGCCAAAAAGGAAGTATTCAACACCAAGAAGCTCTCACTGATTTAAACACATGGTTGGGAGAGTTGCATCTGGAGGAAACATGGTGTTTGGCAGAGCACAGTGCAACTGGAAAAACACTTAGCACTAGAAGTCATGGCAGGTGAGAAAAAGCTGCCTCACTTTTAATCTCAGCATAGGTTTACTGAGCTCCTGGTAGACTGATTATTTACAACTGTCAATAAAAAGATTTAAAATGTAGAGGCACAGTAACTCTGGAACATACAGACCACAGCCAAAATTTAAAAGAGACAAAACAATAAGCACATTTCTAATGATGCTCTGTCTATTTGAGGGGCTGAATCAGACTGGGCCACAGCACTTCCAGGAGCTGGTATTTTTTCTGTGGCAGGCCTCCAGAGCACGAACAATGTTAGCTTGCATTATTTTTACACTTTACTGTTGTGTCCAAATTGACCTGATTCAGAACTTATTGCTTGTGTCTGTGGCAGTTTGAAGCAAATTGAATAAATCACCAGCGCTAAATGAGAACAGTCGCTCCCAACACAAACTCACTTGGGAAAGAGAGGCTCAGACTGGCATCCCTGTTTGTGCACTTCATCCAGTGACTGATCATTAAAAAATGAGTTCACTGAAGCCAGAACTAGAAACTAGGCTTCATACCTCAGCAGCAAGTGACAGCTACATGGCCACGAGATCTATTGCTTTCTCTAGATGAAAACACAATTATTCCAGAGCAAACAGGTCAGCTTCAGCAAGCAGGTGGGAAGGGTCCCCAGGCTCAGAGAGTCTGGTC